TTTCTCCATTTTGAAAAAAGCTCAATACCACTTGACGAACATCCGATACTCTTCTTGGCATCAAAAGACTTGTCAGATCCAATTTCACTTTTACTCTCTGCATGTGCTCTGGTAGTAGATTGTCAAACGATGTTTAACGTTCAATATAGCAGCCATAAATAGTGCTCGAGGTTATTGTTTCTGAAGATCTTTCGATAAATCTGCCTTGTGATCCTTGTGATCGTGATTAATGGGCCTATAGCATACCAGCCTTTTCAACTACTTGCTTGAGACGCTGTGGACTGCGTTATTATCATGTTGGATGAATAATGATAATGCATTGTTATTCTTTTGTGAAATATCTCTCGATCAGATCACCTTGTGTTTTCTTGTAAAGTACTTGAGCTTCGAGTACTTTCGTTATTTGAAGAGTGAAATATGTGTTTTCCTATGTACTAGGAGTGGCTTGGATACAAAGAGACAATCGACCACTCCGTGCTCATGTTTCAATATACCATGCAACCTACACATTTCATTTTGGAGCTTCATATCTCTTTGGAGGACGGAGAATATTCATATTTATTTCCTGTAGTTGATATAGGCTGTGAACATGGTGGAATCGAACGCATAAGCTTTCGGAAAGCATTTTTTAGAGAGCTAGCAAGAGAATAGAACACTCCGATCAGAGTCTGGATGAGTTCCTGTAACATTTCTTGAGCATTGAAATGAAGCTTCTCTGAGAGTTTTTGTTTGTGGTCAAAATGGTGGATGATGAGGTGAACTTTCCTGACAAAGAAGAAGGAGAAGAAGAGGGGGAGGAGCAGGAGCAGGAGGAAGAGCATGAAGAGGAGGAGGAGCAGGAGGAGGAGGAGGAGGAGGTTGACTATGTGTGGAGTACAAATTGGCACAAAGAAGAAGAATGGTATCTAAAGATTATAGAGGAAGGGCTGAATGGTAGGTTACTATAAATTTCATTCAAAAATGATGGAAATTTTCTAAGATGTAAAGTACTGTACATGAGCGAATTGATCAACTGTTCTGTTCAGTTATTATTCAACCCACTTACGTTTGCCTGTAGATAAGCAACTTGTGGACCTACTACAATGTACAACTTGCAATTCATTCCTATGGACTTGAATGTATGCATAACCATATATAAACTAAAACACAGGCAAAGCCTGCGTAATATATACCTATCCGCAAAGTCATTTTTAATTACAACAAAAGTTGCTGGGTGTATTATGGTGTTTTATTATTATGTGTGTGTCGCCAGTGGTTATTATACTGTTTTAGATGTACATCTTCACATTTTGCTGAACATCTTCACATTTTGCTGAGGACATGCCATACTGACCTAATTAAACACACATTATTGTCTGTTTGGAGCCAGAAGGGCATTAACTCAAACAGGTACATATGTACATGTACTTAGACTTAATGCCCTTTTGGTTCAGAACAGACAATATGATTATCAATATCGGGTGACCATGAGCATGTAGCATTCCTTTCTCTTTTGTTATTGTTGTCATTTAAGCTATGGTCACAAATTAGAGCAGCGACCGACCGATCAGTAGCCTGCTCGGTCGCTGCTGGAATTAGGCATCGCCCAGCGATTAGTTCGGTGCCCGGGCGGCGACCGCCCAGGCACCGAGCGTATTTTGGGCGGCGGATGAAAAGTGGGCAGGCGCCGCCCAAATTTTAACTCCGCGCTAAAACTTCAGCGGCGACCGAGCGATGCCCTAACAACGAGCGGTGACTGGCCGGTCGCCGCTCGGTGGCCGGGCAGCCGCCGGGCAGAATTGGTTAAAAACTCGCCGCTCGGCCGCCGAGCAGGCTACTTTTGGGTAATGTGACCATAGCATAAGTAATTGGAACATGCATGGCCAAATGAAAGAGGTATTGTCCCTAAACATATATAGCAAACAAAATATCACATTGTTTGGGCTGATAACTCCTTGATAAGACTGATGGGTGCATAATTATGTGGTGTTCCTAAATCCAAGCGAAGGTTAGATAAACAATGGTTTGTCAATTTGCAAGGTGTACATACGCCTATGAATCATAATTAGAGCTTGCGGTGATGTCGCATGTTATCATTGAAACTAGGCGGTGATGTGATCTCTGTATGACTATGAAGTCAAGAAGTCCATGTATGGAATTGGGCTTTCTCATCCTGCCGTGATGAAAATTTGTTGTTAAATGTCTGCACTTCACCTAAGATAGATGATGTTATGAAAATGAAAGTGACAAACATCAATGTCATTATTCAGAAGATATTGTATTGATGGGAAGGATAACATTAATCGGAATCAAACTTGCTGCCAGGATTGCCGATTATAATTGACAGTATTAAAACCCTGATTTAATAATATTGACAAACATCAATGTCATTATTCAGAAGATATTATATTGATGGGAACGATGACATTTATCAGAATCAAACTTGCTGCCAGGATTGGCGATTATAATCAATAGTGACACTAAATTTAATGATAAACATGTTTGATTAAAGAGAGAGAGAGAGAGTTTTATTTGAATCACTAATTTATCTTTCTTTTTTTTTTTCATTGAAATTATATTTGTGTTTTTATGCATCTTATTCAATGTACTTAAAAATGTATAATTATGTAAAATGAAGAAATATTTGTTACTTTATGTATATGATTATGTTTCATTTTGAAAATGCAGAAATAAAAACAAACAAACAAACAAACAAACAAACAAACAAACAAATCACACAACAAAAATTGGAAATTGTTTAGAACAGAAGTAAATCACCAACCCTGGGTGCTGATGTACTCCTCCATCTTCACATTTCCGTATCTCATAACAAAGAGCTAAGTGACTATGCGCAGGATCTTTTTTGTGCGCAATTACCACGTTTGACGCGTCATATCTGAACCATCCTCAAATGCCATGTGCATGCATAGCCACTAATATGTACTCTTATCTATAGTGAGTGCAACAGGTGGATAATTTTCCTGAAATGATTGGTCACAGCAGCCCACCTTTCCTCCTATCATATGTACTTTAATCTGAAGATTAAGATAGTCTGATGATTAAGATTGTTGGTTGATTGTCCTTGAGACAACTCAATCCCTTTGACCTTTCTTCAGGGCAATTCCATTTGGTCTAGTGAGAACAGTGCCTGCATTAGCCATGCGTATAAGACTCTGAATAAGGTGTGTGTTCACGCATGATAGGGCAGAAAACAATGTCTACTAGTATTTGGAGCCAGAAGGGCGTTAACTCTTATGTTAAATAATATGAGTTTATGCCCTTCTGGCTTCGAGCAGGTGAAGCACTTGGGTACTGAAGTGCGTGGTCTAGTGGATCACATGTTTCAGGGTTCGAGTCCCGCCGCGAAACTAATGCCCTTTGGCAAGACATTGATCTACCTTTGCCACACTCGACCCAGGTGAAGTAAATGGGTACCTGGCATGAATTAATTCCTTGATCTGCTTGAGCGCCATAATGGCAGCCATGCTATAAAAGCCGTGGTAAGAATTGTGGAGTGCCAAGAGTGTCGAGTCTGACAGACATGAGCGCTATACAAGAACCCACTATTATTATTATTTTTACCAAGACAGATGTGAATGTACAGCGAAGGGTGTTTTTAAAGATCACTCAGTAGAAACAAAAAAACAAGAACAAACGTGAAAGGAATAAATACCCATGGTCTTCATAGACAGGTGGTCACTTTTAATAGCAGTTCTTCACACTATTACCTTGCAGAGGTTTAATTGATATATATCCTGTATGAATCCCAGCTGTTCCAATTGCTGTATGGGAGGTGGATGATAGGTCTCCCTTGGGATTAGAATGATAGGATAAATTAGCACAACTGATAGTATATGCCCCTTCCCCTCCCAATAGCTCAACTATTGTTTCAAAGAAGCGGGGGCAAGAAACCTCAATGTGGCTATGACCATTGCTATGACTAACGTGAACCCACAATATATGTCCAGTAACCCAGACATTGTTGTCGTCTTCATATGAGTAGGCCTATACTTCAGATGAAAGCTTCAAGAAGTTTTTTGGGACAGTTTTCTTCGAGTTTTCTTTGAGTGTGATGGATTGGGTTGTTTTTCTGTGGATTTTTGAGGGAATCATACTTTCCAGTTCCACTTGTACTTTCTGTTTTGACAATTAGAACAATGACATTGTCACTAAGGTCACAGAGTCTTTGCAACCAATTGAACTTCTAGTTTCTCAAGTCACGATATCATTAAGGTTGTTTACTTCTGCTGCTGGCTCATTTATTCATTGACATCGATCGATCAAAGGCAAGGATATCTCATATTTACAGAGACCTCTCTTTTTCACCCCTTGTGTTCGAATTGATTCTGCCAATGATCGAGAACAAGTTTTTTAAAATCCAGATATACATCAGTTTTCAGTTCATCCCTCTGTGATTTTACATGGATTTATAGTGCAAGACTTTGTGAATGATGATTATAGTCCATTGTGGAAATGCTTTTGCTGGCTTGTTTAATAGGTGAAATCTGTTATTGAAACTGAAAGGACTATACTGCGACAGTGGTAGAAAGAGAGTCATGAGTAAGTATTGGCCATTGTGAAAAAATGTATAATTTTTGCATGTCATTAATGGTGAAAAAGAAAGGAATCTGTTGTATTCATTTCAAGTAAGTTCACCCCCCCTCTCTCTCTCTCTCCCTGCGATAAACATGATTTGCAAGTTGAGAGTTGGCAGTACTTCCTCACCTGCATCGATCATTCTGAAACTGAGGAGTACCTGACATACCTGTGATGCATGTACAAAGCGCTGCCAAGCCATGTGAAGTTTATTGTTTACTTTGTTGTTAATGTTTCATTGTTTGTTATCTGAATATATATTACATTATCCATTTCATTTGTTTCATGGATACTGTGGATTCGTACACTCTATTTCAGAGGAAAAGACTAATCTTGTGTATTCTGGAAAGTAATTGTGCCATTTATCTTCTTGAATATAAATGATAATCAAATTTGTTCTCCAATTTGTTCTCATCCCACTACAGGAGCTCTGTCTTCAGATTCTGCAAGCCTAAGATCGGTGGGTTCCGTAGAAGACAAAGATGTGGATACAGCTATTACCAGACCCAACGATATCAACATCACTTTCACGGACAATGAACAGCACCCTTCCCTTCGTGATTCGCCTCGTGCTCCTACAACACCGAGCCGGGTAGGTTTTTATAGTTGTTCAGCTTAATTAGTCATAGTCAATTTGTTACATAGGTTGAATCCCTATAATCCAGGGGGGTGTTTCACAAAGATCTTAAGTAGAACTTTACACTAAGTTGGACTTAAAAATTATGGAAAGCCGTTAGCGTCTTTGAAAATATTTTGTAAAAGTTATTTTAGAAGGCATAAAATGTTGATTCAAATCATTCATATTTTCTATCATCATGGGAGATTTCATGTTCTTGATGTGGAATTTATGAAAAGTCTAAAATACTTGAATTTTTGCTTTTGAATATATTTAATTTTAAGGCTTCAAATGGCTCTCCATAACTTTTAAGTCCAACTTAGAGATAAGTTCAACTTAGGATCTTTGTGAAACACCCCCCAGGACTCAATTCCCTAACCCTATTTAACCCTATCCCTAACCCAATCCCTAACATTAATCCTAGCTGTAACCCTAAATCTAACCATAAACCTAACCCTTTAATACTGTAACCCTTACTGTAGCCTTAACTGTAATCCTAACTTTAACCCTAACTGTATTAAACCCTAAACCAAAACTAACCTAAACCTAAACCTTGACCAACCCTAACAATGCCATGACCTTAACCCAAATCCTAACCATTACTTAAACCCTTATCCTAAACTTACCTGAAACTTGTAACTACTTTAACCCTAGAACTACAGCTATATTTGTAAAAATATAAGTGTAAAACCAAGTAATAAGTTCATTTGTATGGAAGTAGAAAAATAAGAGACATGGAATGCATATATAGGGTTATACATTATTATTATTATATCAGTACAACTGCATGGTGGAGTAATTTCAGAGGAATTCTACATCATGTCACCACCCATTTAATCTTGCTTCCTTTAACCTTACAAAGTACAAACTATTTTTGTTTCAACCCTGAATTTTTAAAAGTAAACATATACCTTTAAATATTTAGAGAGTAATTATTAATTATGAGTAAGAGTGGGCATCGAGCATTGCGTTCATTGTCCAGACCGTTTCCTGTGATAGGTTTTTCTTCGTATGAGAACACAACGTGTTTTGCATGTTTTGGGAGAACATCCTAGATTGAGGCTAATTTAACAAATAGATATTTGTAGCTGAAAAGGTGGGATTCTATAGAACCAGGAAAATTGGGAAGATTGAATCCGATGATTGTGGTACAGATTCAAAAGTGCACTTACTATTGAACCGTACCTTTGTGGCTTTTGGTATAAACAAGTAAAGCAGACACGTACTTGTATTCTATGTGTTGTGATTCATACTTGCTTTTAATAGGTTTGAATCACCAAGGGTAATAATAGTATTATCATTGGTGGGGCGGATCGGAAGTGGACCACCCTTATGAAGAGAGAAAAAGGAGGGAGAGAGACAGAAAGGGGGGGGGGGAGAACAAGACAACAATGCAGACAGACAAACAGACAGCCAAAGAAAGACAAGGAGAGAGAGAGGGGGAGAGAAAGAGAGAGAGAGAGAGAGAGAGAGAGAGAGGGGGGGGGGGGGGGAGAAAGAGAGAGAGGGGGGGGGGGAGGGAGGATGGACAAGAGGGGCAGAACAGACAATCAAAAAGACACACAAAGCTAAAGAGACTTGATTAAGTGTTTTCCATAATAACATGTTATTTATTAATGACAAAAAAAAATCAAAATATAGAATTTAAGAATACTCAAAGCTTAAAATGATTCCATTTAAAACACAAAGATCAACAAAACATAATATTTAAAAGATTTGTTTTCTATTGGATAAATGTGTGACATCTTTTATATTTTTATTATAAATCATATTCATTTGTTTTAATTTGGATTTTGGTTTAAAGCAATTTTCTTGAAGTTGAATATTCTTAATTTTGAATTTAATTTTGATTTTTGATTTTTTTTTGTTTTTTTTGTTATTGTTTTGTTTTGTTACAGAGTGATTCAATAAAGCTTTCAACACCAGAGGTGGAGAAGTTGAGCATCAGGAGACTGTTATTGGTTGGCATTCTGGAGAGTGAGCAAAAATACATCAAAAGCCTGGAAATTCTGCAACAGGTAAGCATGGAGAAAAGGTTACCAGTCTCTGAATCTATTTCAATAAATAAATGTACTGGTACTGGTTTGTCACAAGAGTAAATAACATCGTCATGCTATCAATAACAATCATCTACTTTTCCAAAACAATATGTGGATTAGTGTATGAAAATACGGTAGGTGCGTGTACTGTTTTCATTTCATGTGATTCTAAATTTGTAATTGTTTGAAGTCAAACTTGAGATTCAAGTTTGCTATCCTTGACAAAGAGAAAGTAAAGTACTTTGACATGCAATGCTCGTACACTGCTTCTATGGAGAAAATGAGAGCCACTTAAATACATTGTGAGGGAAACACTTATGACGACAGTTTGTAAATAGACCAACTTCAAACTCGAAGAGAAAGTCCACCTTGGCCTCAATTGAGTGTTTTGTAAAAGCAGACACAAATTGTGACACAGATGTGAAATAGAAATGTGAGGAAAACATTATAAAGGATAAGAAAATTATTGAACTTACAAGTTGTCATCAATGAATTACAAATCAACTACTCTGTGTAATTTCCCTTTTTTGTTTGTTTACAACAGATTCATAACTTTATATTTTTAACAAAATTAATCTATTGTAATACCTATAGGACTTGATCATGTATTCAACACGTGTTACTATGTACACACTCCCTGTCCGGAAAGAAACATTCCTACATCATCAATGGAGAAGAGTAATATTTTGTTTTGCAGTTCTAGGTACAAAATAAATGAAGATCTTCTTGCAAGGGCAATCAAAAATATATGAAATTGATTAAAACATAACTTTAACATTACATCATATTTTAGATCATATTTTCACTCGACCGTTATTGATCCGTTATTCTGTTTCTCTCAATTTTAGTATTAATCTAATTTGATTTTCGTCTGGAATTTCCCTTAAAAACAACATTTCGCCTCACTAGTCAATGTAAATACACATACAAATGTACATGACCTTCAGGCCTCGTGACAATAGTCATCATCTTCACCCGACTGATACCATATTTACTCTTTATGTCAATTATATCCATCACGGTTTTCGTTGTTTGTCATGATAAATATTATTTGAGTTCAATAAAAGAGAGACATATATATATTTCATGTATTCAAGCACACTCCCATTGAGTCTACATGTACTTTGGCCTATGCATAGGATTCTGTACGGTGTTATTCCTATTTTATCTGAGCTAATTTTCCATTGAACTGTTATTAATCCAGGCAGTATCATAAAGGGATCAGCCCTTTTAACTGTTTTGTCCTTTGCATTTGTACTTACAAACAAATTATTATTTTGACCATGACACAAAAATCATCATTTGCAACCACAAAAAAACTAAATATGGCGACTGTCTATGTTGGAAACTTGCAAACAAAAAATTGTTGAGGTTGAAGTCACACTACGCAAGGCCTGAGGTTGTGGTGAGATAGAAAAATGTAGATTTTGGAAATATTTCATATTGTAGTGTATAACCTTGCTCTCAGAGAAATAAATGATTTAGTGTATTTAATTTGTACATATGTAACCTACATGGTTTACAAAAAGCCCCTAAAGCTTGCTGATGCAGCATGCACACAATTACATGTACATGAAAGTTGTTCATACATGTAGTTATGGGGAAGTTATACTCGGATTGTAGTCTGTACAATCTTGGCCTTAGCCACAAATGTATTTGAACAAAACTTTATTCTTTCTTTAATATATATTCCAAGATTTCGTGTTAAATTAACTATATACTACTAAGATGCAGACCTATGTATTTATGATCTTTCTGCTGAACTTGATATGCTTCTTAAATTCAAATAAGCAAAATACTTCCTCAATGTTTGCTTGATTTCATGTGGATTTTTTCATTTCAGAGCAACTATTTACTGTGTGTTAGTTAGTGCAGGGATGTGTTGGTGTGTATTTGTTTTGTTTATTTATTGTTCTCTTGTCAATGTCAGATCAGTGAACAAATATAACAGAAGGAATTTTTACTGTAGGGAAATAAAGCTGGCTATAAATAGTACAAAACATCCAAGGGGCTGAAGTATTTTCAACATAATGACTATTTACAACACATATTGGTTCTGTTATTTGTGTCGTAAAAAGGATGGATACGAGTGTTCTATCATAGTCCTATTCTCCTTGTCTTGTATTTAAGTCTGTATTAATTGATTATTTTTCAGACTGGTGCAAATGCAATTTATTCTTAATCAGATCACGGTGCAATATATCTTTTTACCTTATAACCTGGGAATGCCTTTTATATCAACCTTTTAGGTAGAATTGTTTTTAAATGTTATATGTATTATGCCAACGTTCATTACATGTGTATACTCATGGTAGTCACGTAAATCTATTCAAAAAGTATATTTAACAAGTGATCAACATGTTATATCCGTAACATATAACAGGACGTGAAATTTTCCAATATTATTAGTGATGAAACAATGTTGATTTGAACAAAGCATTACAACATATAATTATTTTCTTCCTTTTAACAAAAATCAAATAATGATGGTAAAATGAACTTAGAAGAGCTCTCATGCAAGATCCAATTATTGCATGAAATCAGAAGAGGCAGAGTTGATATTAGTTTTCTTAGAATTTTCCTCCAGACATGAGTTCTTCAAAGGATATGATGAGAATTTCTTAATAAGAAGCTTGTTTTCTATCTAATTGATTATTTATCTTGAGGAAATCTCATTTTACATAAGTGGTACTTGACTTGAGCTTCAGGATGCATATTTGAAGCTTGTGTATTTATTAAAGCACTCTTTTTTTTTTTTATAGTGGTGAATCCGGGATCCTCAGGAAGGGAAAGGGGGTGGGGGACACAATAAATGGTCATCAGCTTTTCTGTGTGTATTTTTTCCTTCCCCTTTTTCTTCCTTCCTTTTACCTTCAATTTTATTTTTTGGGTGGGTGGAGGGGGGGGGGGGGGGAAGGGGTGATTGGGCCCCTGGATCCTCCACCATTTTAATTACCTGGTGATTATTAATAAATATTCTGTCGTACAAGGCTTGGTATCATACGTGTACTCAAAGGCAATAATAGACGAGGGAATCAAACTGCTTTATCTACAATGATGGAAATGACTGAGCATTGGTTTTTTGAACAGTTCATCAAGGAATGAATGACTTCATTTCTACAAATGAATTGACCTGAATAATACGTGTACTTTTAATGATGACAAAGATCTTTATAATAGCTTAGCGTATATCCTGTACAGTGTATTTTGTTCCCGGTAGTATTGAAAGTATTTATAATTTGCATGTGGTATCGGTAGTTCTCATTTTCCATAAATAACTGAAAGAGATCAAATTTCATGTTCATTCATTCTCAAAGCAGTAAAAGACCATTCCTGAATATGAAATAATGGATTGGTATTGGTACTAAAAGACACATGAAAAATCTGATACGGAATATTCATAATTTTTTTCTTAAAGGTTACATGTAAATGCTCTCTGAAGGTTAATATACTGGTAGCAAAAAAGTTACAAAGCTATATTGGGATCGAATGTGTCTGTTTGGATGCATCTGTGTATATGAAGACTGAAAATTGGCATAGATTAGGAGATCATAGTTTATTTTACTTGATAGAAAAATATACAAGTAGGTAATTCATAACTCATCCTTTCCACCATCCCCTCATTCATTCTCTAATTGTCTCCAAATAATCATTTGCAGACGAGCACCATTTTATTCCAAAACTTGCTCTTCATCGATGCCATATGAAAGTGGATCTTCTGATCTCTGCATGCATGCTTGATTATCCCATGGAGATACAGCCCCATGATTATTCAAACTATTGGCTAATGACCTTCCTGTTATGACTGCGTTCAAGAGACCATCATCCTCTTGTATCAATGGCAAATTGGCACCGCGAGGCGGCAGGCGTTTGGGTCAAGTGTTTAGGCGCTCAACTGACGCATGTTTTATGAGATGACTCAGCGTCGTGAAAGGGGACTGAAAGTAACCAAAGAGGTGTGACGCCTCAAAAGGGGGGAGAAAGATGGAGAAACGGAAAGGGCTTTCCATCCCGTGGAGAGGGATTAAATAGGGAACGTGACAAATTGGTATCAAGAGATACCCTTTATTGACAGTAAACATGTAGCGGTGCTTCATTAATACTTAGTGATACTTATATAGGATGTACAGAGTGACCTCTAAAATTTTGTTGACAATGTGTTGACAGTAAATTTGTAGCAGTGCTTCATAAATAATTTGTGATACTTATATAGGATGAAAAGAGTGACCTCTTAAATTTTAGAATGAATGCAGAAACATCACTGTCTAATATGCACACGCTTCTTCTACTAGCAAATTGTTGATTATTTTTTACTGAATGTGAAAATCTTTAAGATCATGGAAAATAAACATTTTAGACAGATTGTCTATTAAAGCGAGGAGTGACAGTATTTTAAAAATTGTAGACTTTGACACTGTTTTGGTGAGTAATGCGCATGCACCACTTGTCGCTGTCCGGCATGCGTTTTCACGGAAGCGAGAAGAGTCATGTGAGCAAAAACCGGAATCGTACCAAAGTTTCATTTACACTGCAAAAGTCTTTGGAATTTTGTCTGCCATTTAAATGCAACTAATTGAAGTGTTTTTTCCCTTTTTTTCTCATAGGTAATGAAGACATTCAAAGGCAGCATCAGAACCTCCGACCCCGTCATGACTGACGAGGAATACGACACCATGTTCTTCAGGATACCGGAGCTCTTTAACGTTCATCGTCAGTTTGTCAATCACATGGAACCCAAGATGAAGGAATGGACTCCAGAACAGATGCAGGGAGACTCTTTCAAACTTCTGGTAAGTGGGCTGGCATCTTTCTTTAAGTGTTTTGACATCATTCTTTAAAGCCCCACTGTACTACTTATAGCTACGTCTTGCGCCCTCTGTATAGAAAACAATGCCTAAGGGGGACCTGATGGTACGTCCCCCATGATCCTCTTTCCTTATGTTAAGTGAGAGCTGATTTGATGAGATAACCACCTGTCAGTGATCTTGCAGGGTGGTCTAATCCCTTCCGGCCAAACTAGTACAGATGGGCTTTAAGTGTTCTTGAGCTTTTGCTGTTATGCTTTGAACCACTTTTATGGTTCTTCCACACCCGAAAAAAGCCTCCAAAGAAAAGGGTGGGTAAACGTACACCCGTCGTTTATTCTTCTTCTAGGAAAGGTTCGTGCCAAATATTACCCTGAATAGATTTGCTGTGCTGCCTAAACATGTAGGTGCTGAAAACATTGAAAGTATTTCTGCTCCTAGGTACCAATTTTACACTTCAGGGCCCGTCTTACAAAGAGTTGTGATTGATCCACATCAATTGTAAGTCCTTCAATCAATCCCAAGTTTTCAGTCTCCTATCTCTTATGTACATACATGTAGTTGCGATTGATATCAATCACAAATAAGTTGAGATTAATATCAACTCTTTGTAAGACGGGGCCCTGGGTTGAGAGTGGTAAATGAAGATAAATGTCTTGACATAGGACAGTGCTCGTAGTACATGTGCGGCTTGAAACCAATATGATTACACTTCATGCTCCCGGCTCCACCTTTAGAATACTCCTCAAGCTTTTCCCAATGTTGTTAGTCATATAATGGATGACATTCTTTGACTTCAATAAAGTTCTTTTCTTTTTTCAACTCTCCATTTTTCCATATAATATATAGAAAATACATATTGTCTGTCTTCCTGAGTACTGTATAAATCAGTGTTTGAAAAACCCAATTTTTGTTTTTTTAATCACTTAAAAACACCTACTACAATCAGATTGTAATGAGTATGAATTACTCATTTTCATCACCAAGTCATGGATGTAAATGTATTGTGTTACTATGCTCCGTGCATGTGTACAAATTGGAGCCAAGCTGGGATTTTCATAGAATTAGCACATGCCTGACTTTGCCGTTAGCCATAAAGTGAATTCATTGCTTTATTAGCTTTGGACTATGTGCCGAGCTGAGGCATCAATAATTAGATTAATGAACCAACGTGTATGTGTATTGAGCTATTGGGCGGGAGGTAATTGGTGTATAAGTTGGCTGTTTGGATTAGCCTGGTGTCGCAATGTCCTATTGAACCCAATATTACATACTTTGTCAGAAATGATAGTGAGAGAGAGAGAGAGAGAGAGAGAGAGAGGAGGGGAGAGGAGGGGAGAGGAGGGGAAGCAGAGACAGAGACAGAGACAGGAATGTAGAGAAAGAGACTGACCCATGTTGAGATTGACAAAAGGAGAAAAGAACCTGGGTGGTTTCGCAATGTGTTATTGAACCCAATAGTACATACTTTGACACAATGAGAGAGAAAGAGAGAAGGGGGGGGGGGAGGAAAGAAAAACAGAAAGACAGAAAGACAAAGAGGAGACAGACATACAGACACAGAGACACGTATAGAGAGAGATGGACTCATGTTCAAAGAAAAGTGAAAAGGATAGTCAGACACAGAAACAAAGAGAAAGGGAGAGAGAGAGAGAGATGGACAATGAAAATGGACCTAATTAATTTTTTTTTTTTAAACATCGACATAGAGTATTGAGAAAGAAAGAATAGAGGGAATGAGAGAGAGAGAAAGAGAAGAGAGGGAGAGAGAGAGAGAGAGAGAGAGAGAGAGAAAGAGAAGAGAGGGAGAGAGAGAAAAAGAGGGAGTGAGAGAGAGAGAAAGAGAAGAGAGGGAGAGAGAGAGAGAAAGAGAAGAGAGGAACAGAAAGAGAAAGAGAGGAGAGGGAGAGAGAGAGAATCAGAACTAAAAATTGTGTGACGAGCTAGCTGAGTAAAAATGTGACATAAATACAATACCTCTATTGATTTTAGGACATAAACCTTGTGATATTATAGGCCTCTGTTTCAGTATCAGAATTCGCAACAGCAAACCCTTAAAATAAGTGTGACGACCTATTCCAGTTGCCTTTTGTTCATTTCAAACCTAAAACATAACGAGAATGCAGTGCATTGCCCAAATAGGTGTGACATCTGAGTCAGAACTGTATGATAGAGAGAGATGATAGTCATTTAGTCTCAATCTCTTTTGCCTAGCAAAAAGTAACTAAAAACAAAAGCCATTTGATGATGAAATTACAGACGCTTCTTGTGTTGTCGGTTGAAATCCGCAGCTCAGCCCTCATCAATAAATGGTGAGATTGCGTGAGTCACTCATTAAGGGCATCAGGAGGGTATTGTACCTCGTTTACTTTCCTCCTCCCTAAAGTCAAACTAGACGAGTTGGTGATGAGGATGATGAGGGCGATGGGACCGGTGTGTCAGTCTATGTTCTTTGTTCTCTCTCTCTCTCTCTCAAACACTTGTTCTCTTTCTGGCTCGTCGTCTCTTACTCTTTCTATATTTATTCTTTCTATATTTATTCCATCTTCCTAAAAACTGGAGTGATGAGGATGGTGGGACCATGTGTCAGTCTATGTTTTTTGTTCTTCTTTCGTTTTTGTTTCTCTCTGTCTCTGTCTGTCTCTCTCTGTCTGTCTCTCTCTCTCTCAAGTTGTTATGAGGATAATGATGATGATGATGGGGATTAAGCTGATGGGATCAATGTGTCTGTCTGCATTCCTTGTTCTATAAATGAGTCTCTCCGTGTCTCTCTTTCTACCACTGTCTGTCTCTAACTCTTTTCTATTTTTCACTCTCTTCTCTCTCTTTCTCCCTCGCTCTCTCCCTCTCTCTCTCTCTCTCTCTCTCTCTCTCTCTCTCGCTCTCCCTCGCTCCCTCTCTCTCTCTGTCGATTCCCTTGATTATGGGCTGAATCAACAGAGAGTGGTAAAGTCCATGTGTAAATATGATGACAGCCCACACCTAGCACAGTCACTGTCCAAGAAAAGAATAGTCTTACGTCCACAGACTGTCAGTCACAGAGGAAATCATGCTTCCCCAAATACTGGCACTGCCATGAAAGTAATTTTGAGGTTGAGATTTGTAAAACTAATGTTTTTGTATGTTCGCACCTTTCCGGGAATATATGAAGATCAGCAGACAGTATATTCCATCATACTGCAGTATGATCATGCTTTAATAGAATATGGCTAGATAAAATCGTCGGCCATTGATAACGACGTAGCTCATTCTGACAGCCTTCTTACGGCAGCTGACGAAAAAAGGACATCATATTTATTATGCACATAATAATGTGAATGACATAGCCGCATAGACCTATCTAGAATACTGAACATCCACTCATCATGTGATTCAAATTAAATTCAAGGAAAGGTCTGGATCGTAAAAACTACCTCCGGCCCATCAGAGAAAACCTTGATTAGCGTGAGGGGACGGGGATAAAAAAATGTTTTTATCCAACGGACCGCAAAGATAGATTCCTCCTTAAAAGGATGATACTTTTTGTGGTTTTATAGCACAGGCCTTTATTAGACTGTAATTGGATAAAGAGATGGTCGATTTCAGAAACGAGGAGGGGGAAAAAACGTGGGGGACGGGGAAAACAGGTATATCAATATTTTCCGGGTATAAACAATAACAGTGGGGATGTCCTATCATTGTTTGATTAGTTTCTAGAGACGAAGGATGACTCATGGATGGCCTAAATTGAATATGAAGTAGAGATGCTCTGTTTTGGAGGGAAATTGGCCTGATTGCTTGGAAAGCAATTTTCTGGAAAGTCATCTTTATCTGGGAAACGGGGTTCGCAAAAGTTCAGGGAACTGACCGAGCGTTAGTTGTGTCCTCATGCAGGTTTCAGAATGAGTGATTTGAAACAAAATTATGGAAACAGGAATGATGAAGGTATGATGTCATATATTACATCATATGCCCAAGTCATAGTACTGACTGTCTCTGTAGGGCTGTAGGCACTGTGTATATACTGTAAAAATCTATTTTCGTATAATGACTGAACCACTATTGCACAACCATGTTTTTTTTTAACGCTACACTTTTTTTGCAATTTTACGTACTAGAAATGTTCCATTATGACAATGTGCTTTGCATTTTTATGTAAATGGGCCACAGGATATCCTTCTTGATATTTTTAGTAATTAAACCTCATTCGGACTTTATCTTTATCTTGCATTGTTTTTCAAGAAATTAATTTCTATTTTCCACCAATAATGAACATCATCAACCATAAGACTTACCGGAGACACAGTTTTCCCCACAAGAACTTTAAAATTGCTCCTAATATATTTTGAAAATGAAGTCTTATTTTTCTACTTGAAATGTGAAATTTGACTCATCTATTTTGAAGCTTGATACCATGATTTTTTTTCTCCCGTTGACGTTGAAAAAAAAAAGACCATGATCACAAGCTCGTCTCATGATATGTTATTGTAATACCGATGAATTTTTGTTATCTCTGTACGGATGAATGGGAACATCATCCTGTGCATGTCATAACTATCCATCATACACCCATCACCCCATTGTCACCTTAATTGCTCTCTAATAACCCCCTCTCCTCCTTTTTTGTTTACCCCTCCTAGGCGAGCCATTTTGACATCCATGAAGAATACATCGCCAACTACAAGCGTGCCATGAGCACCTTGCAGCACCTTCAATCGGAGAACGAGCTGTTCCGCAACATTGCCCAGCAGGCACTCAAGCTATCGTCAGGAGAGATGTACACTCTAGAGGGTAGGTGGCAAAATGGGGTCTCTTTTTGGGGGAGAGGGGGTGGGGGGAGGCAGGGGAGATAGAGGAGGAGAGATGTGACGACAGATGTACACCCTCGAGGATAGGTTGTAAAATCAGGCCACTTCCTGTTGGGGGGGGGGGGGTGGCAAGGGAGATATGGTAATAATAATGATACATGAGATATACATAGCACCATTATCAATTCTAATTAAATGCTCAAGGCGCTTCAAAATTTTAGGGAACACGTTACATCATGACAAAGGAATCGTGGTAGGGGTGATACAAAGAGAGAGAGGGGGGGGGGTATATAGAGAGAAAGGGGAGACAAGAGACAGGAAGAGTAGATACAGAAAAGAGATTAGAAGAAATGAGATAGCGATAGAAAGATGTAGAGTAGAGTAGTAGAGGTGGGTGAGGTCTAGGTGAGCGGTGAGGCAATGGAGATATGGCGAGAGAAGGGGTGAGGTGAGATTAGGAGGAAAGAGATAGAAATAGGGAGAAATAGATAGAGAGACTTATACCCTAGAGGGTAGGTACAAGAAAAGATAGGAAGAAAGAAGGAGGGAAAAGAGAAGAGATAAAAATAGAGTAGTAGGTAGAAAAATCAGGCCCCTTTCTATCATAAGAGGAGTGGGGATACAGAGGAAAGATAGTATTCAGCCGTACATCCATCTTGACAAAGTTATCACCAAAATGATCTTTATACAGGAAAACTCTGCTATCATGAAGTTATTTTTAGCAAAGGACTACAGGAAACATTTTTTAGGGCCCCATATATTCAATCGTCCTTTGTGTGTGTTAGATGATTTTTATGGATAACAAAGCATTGTCTTTGCCCAAACTTGAACACATGAATCCCATACTCTAAACTTGTGATAAATAACACAAATTTAAATTGAAAAGCTTTTATGGAGTGTTCTGTGCTGTTACATATTCTTTTATTTTAAGACAAATAATTGGACATTGCCCTTTAAACCCCTGTCTGATCCATGTTAAAGGTATTACAAAGTTTTGGGAAATTTTGAAAAATGGGTGGATAGTGATTCTTTACAATTTTGATATATTTGGATGCCCCTGTGGATGTATTAAAAGCACTAGAAATTTTAGCCCCTAAAACACTTCTGCTTTCGAGAAAAACTGAATATAAAGATTTACCGGTGCTCCCGGTAAATTTTGATAAATTTCAAATAGCTCCTACGGCCGTACTATGGTAGCTGCGACCATGAAAATCTCAGAATATGTAGTTGTGGTATATAATTTGCGAACGAGAATAGCTAATCGGTCGATATTAGTCAAGAAACATTGTTTCATAGCTTAATTAATATCTTGACCTTGAGAGGGAGCTATATATCATAAAGTGATTATTATTTATAATTTCATAACTTAAGACTCGATTTCGACCGCGACGACGATCACTGAAATTGTAGGATCGCATATGCTTCAAATATGTTCATTTGAACCAAATTCATGACCCCATACCAAAACTTTGTATTACCTTTAAGGAAGATATTAGGATAACAAAATAGCAAGAATGTTTCACTGTCTCGTAAAAATGGCTCATCAACTAAATAAAAATATTGACAATTGGATTACATTTCATTTCTTATGGTTGGTTGGCCTTGGCTAACAACATTGATGCATGCCCATGTACAGCCTGTATTATTACAGTAAACTTGTAAAAAGCATTAAAATATAAATGGAACATATTAGTCAGTGAACAACAGTGATAGAAAAGGAAATTTCGTTCTTGATTACACCAATGCCACTGCTAGTTTAAACAAAAATTTATAATTTCATAAACATTTGCTCATCCACTTTAGGACATATTAGCGAGCAATAAATTTGATATGAGGATACTAATTGAGAAGAGTCCCCCTACATAAACCCCAGGCTAACCCCAGGCTATCCCAGTGCAATATCAGAGCGGCCCCTGCTTCCATCCTCAACATAATTGATGCCAAGCACTCAGTTTTGATTCATTGGAAAATGTACAACCCGGAGGTTATTTATGAATAATTATCATGTTGCGGGGTTCTCCATTAAGGGGTATCGCAAGGCAGGCACTGATGATTGGGAATGATTTGTCCGCCTAAATTGGATTAACTTATTTTTGCTGCTAGTAATTCATGTGGAGAGGACTGTACTTGTCTTTCAAATTAAAACTCTCATTGTCCTTGTATTTGTTTAGAATGTGACATACTCTGCTAGCGCTATTTTTAGTTTTATGTTTTCTTCAGACTTCCTGAAATTATGATTCAATCATTTTCATCAAAAAAATGACCCCAAAAATCTAATTGTAGAACGGAACGCATACTTTTTTTTACATGTGAGTCAACCCTTTATATTAAAAATGAGATAACAAACAATCTTTTTATAAAATAGATTTGATTTTCATTCGCTCTTTGGTCCACATAATACCTTCTCAAGGTCAAAATGTTTAGAAGACTTGAAAGCACAATCAGAAAGGTACTTATCAACAAAAACATGTGCATGTCATTAAAAACAACTAAACAAGGAATTGTGCAAGAAATCCAGAATACGCAAGTCACAAGACTCCTGATTTGAAGTATTGATATTCCATATCTCCTTTAGACTATGGAAAATGTCGGAAGGATGATGGATTTTATTCAGAATACCACATACCTAATCTTCGAGCCTCATTCAAGCTTAGCATGAAACCCTTGTGCCAAGGCTGGGCCAAATTTAGAATTGCACCAAATATACATGGGTGAATATTAGTCATAATTGTTGAAAATTGAATACATTCTGTTTACCTCGTGATGTGCTCTGGGATGACTTTATTCAAGGAAGAATAGCAAAAATTGTGAGGAATGGTGATTGGGGCCACAAATTGATAACAGGGAGATCTTGATGGAATTGGGTGTATCAATATTTTTGTTGCAGAAGAAGAGAAACAATTATTAAAAGTTTAGAAATAAAAGAGAAGATATGCTCCATTTAAGGATTGGGTATCTTTGCCTCAGATTATAAACAAAATCCTGGATTTAGCTCATGCTGCAATCATAATTATAAACCTTTAGGTCAGTCAGGAATCCCATGACTTTTACAAGCTGATCGACTGTCTGATTATCAAGATATACATGATTGGAAATCGCAATTTCAAAAACTGTTTCCCAACAGGTTTTATAACACGACAGTCTATTGGGGGAAAAGAGTATGGTAAAACCGGTCACTCAAAGATATTTACTTTGAGGCACTTCATGGAAGAACAGAGCCATTAGGTTAATGGCTCTGAAATGGACTATCCAACCGTTTTATCATTCTATCATTGTTATATAAGTCTTTGATTTTGTTATATTGTATTATTGTTTTTTATGATGATTTTCGGAAATAAAACAAACAAAGAAACAAACAATTTCATTTTGAAGTGCAATTTTTTAAGGGCTTCAATATTACACCAAGTCACAGACAATGATAACACATAAGGCCATGCATCTCAGATTTGTAAAACTTAAAACATTGTTAAACGATGCCTTTAACAGTTGGTCTGTGGTCTGAAGTGAAGTCTACTTCCTCTTTTCAACCCTGACCCCAATAGCATGCCAAATCTCTAAATCTAACCCTTAACCTAAACTGAAACCACAATCACAACCCTATATCTTGGGTGAAGCAGGGCCCAATTTTGAATGATATAGATATTTTAGAATATATAAAGTCAAACAGATTATTATTATTACAATGAAATTCAGATATGAATTGAAACTACACATACTCCAAAATCATTGCTTGATTCTATATACCCACGTCACTTCCTTCCTTTGCTTTCCTTATGTGATAGAAAGTAGCGCTAAAGAAAAGTATGAATAGAAATAAATTACATCAATGTAATAAGTTTAGTTTCATTGTCCGATTATTTCGAGCCATTGTGCTGCAGACAGCTGCAACATGTTTACAAAATGATCAGGCCTATTATTTTTGAAGCCGTCTATCTAATAGCTTCTATTTCGGAGATGATAGAAATTCTATTCATGCTTATTAAACCGTGCACTGTGGGATACAATTAATTAACCCCTCGCTGGGATGCCAGGCTTTTGATCTAATGAGCACGACTGATTTGCAGACGGAAGGAAAATGGAGTGCGAAAGATGAGGCCTCCCCTTTTTATATTGAATAATTTTTTTAAATAGTTGTGTGCCAAGTTTTCTCTCCCCATTTCGGTAGATATTGATGCAGTAGGCCTAGTATGATTAAGATTAAATCTTCCTTAATGTTTGAGGGATGTTTTTGTAAAGACAAATGAGGCACAGTTAATGTATCGTAATGAGTATAACCTTTATTATGAAATGTCGAACTGATTGATATTTGATATACTGTTGAAAAGTTTCTATGTTGAATTGTAAAGTATTGAAGATTATAATATTGACTATTGAGTAGTAAAAATACTAATAGATTGTAATATCAAACATAATGTCTATACAAAGAGAATTGTGATAAAACAAAATTGTAGATTTACATCATTTTTTGTTTAATAAAGATACATGTATTGAGTCTACATTGTATATGGATTATGGAGCGTTTATTCAAGTGTTCACATCCTAATATTTTAAATGGTTTGATTAATCATAGGGTTTAAAACAAAATATTTTAGACCTTTGTGATCTTTTTTTTACATCAATACCAATAGGTTTTTATTTGTTTGAAGTTTCTTGATAATTTACATATGATTTAAGAACTGAAGTGACTTTCATCATTTGGAGCCAAAATAGTGTAAACTGTGTGTAAAATTATACAAGATAATACTCCTCTGACTTAAAGCTTATCTGCCGTAGTTTATAGGAGGGATTAGACTGCCCAGCAAGGTCACTGGACATGTGGTTATCTCATCAACTCAGCTCTCAGTTAACATAAGAAAAAGAGGATCATGGGGGACCAATGGTCACCGATTAGTCATTGTTTGTTATATAGAGGGCGCAAATAGCTACAAGTAGTGCAGTGGGCCTTTAAAGGTAAAGACCAGTTATGGTCATGCGATTGCATTGTGGAATCGATCAGAAAAGGTTGATCATCTAGCATCTAGCATCTGCAAGGTTCTGGAATCATCAAAATGATAAGAAATTTGGCCCATTCTTTGTAAAGTTACAAGCACTATACACAGAAATATGTATAAGGGACTACCCTATATCTCTCACAGACCATGAGAGAAACAAATTTACCAAATATATGAATTAGTAGGCGGTTTCCCGGCAAATTTTTTATCATCATGTATTAGTCAAAACATATTCTTTCACATGATTGGTAATGAGAGCTTCCATTTCATTTTTTGAAATTGGGGCGTTTCCAATACTGGTCTTTACCTTTAAATATTTTCTGATGTTTGTTTACCTTGTGGTCCTTCAGATCATACATAATGATTCCAATCTTCTTGCTCTTCATCTATCCACTTTGAATGGCTCATCTAAGTTCAGACGGGTAATTATCCTTTCTTTCATCTTTCTCTCATTTACAGCTATGCTATACAGCCCCCTACAAGGGATCACCAAGCTGACCATGATCCTCAACGTAAGTAGACTTATTCCTATGATATAATATAAGAAACGTGACATTGCTAAGACATGAGATCGATTTATAAGCATCCTTTATTCTATTTTCAGGTAATTTTATTTCTATTAAAAATGGTGTTTGATGATGACTGTTTACCTGACTGCTAAGAAAGCATGTTATGCTTGTAAGTAAACAACCAGGGGACTGAAGGCTTTAAGTCCTCTCCGAGGGATTTGGTAATGAGGATTAATGCCTTTCCAAAGGACACAAGCGCATTGACTTGGTTTCGAACCCGGGAATGAGCCCATTGTGCCTACTGTATTTTTTATGCAGTTGAATCTGCTCTTGCAACCACAGTGTTTTGTAACAGTGTTTTGCATTTATTTTTACATTCAAATGTTTGTAACCTGTCCATAAAGACCACAACTAGCCTATAAAGAGCGCCTTTCTTGTCTCCCTTGGTCATTCAATACAGGTTTGGCTGTATTTGATATATTTTCTATATGCTTGTATGTCTACTCTAGAATATCTTTTTTGTTAGTCTCGCTTTAATTGTTGTACATGTATTTTAAATGCGGTACAAATTTTGAGGTAATATTGCCATTAGTTGTGCTTGTAAGGGTGATTAGTTCCTTTAAGATAAAAAAAATGTATTAAAATAGGAGATTACACAATATAGCAGTTGAGACTACATGTACATAAAACTTTAATTAAGGTGTTACTTTCACTGTTTCATGGCATGGCTTCAATTCATTGACAGTAAAATATGGGGTGCACTCAAGCTGGAAAATGCAATTATGGTTTTCGCAACCTCATTAATGTTAGGCGTCTCGAAAATAACAATTTTCTTTAGCCGAAACTCATCCATCACGTTTGGTTCGTCACGGCACAGCTGTGGAGGTGCATGGACTGAGTCATGAACGTGCAATAAAAGTAATTTGAGAGGGCGTTATAGGATGATAAATAAAGTGTTTGAACGTTTTCATGTTTTGTCCCCTCTATTTTTTCATCTCTGTTTCCCTCTCTTATTATCTCCACCTGTTTTTAGTAATTTTAGGCTACTGCAGATGTTCCCCCTCTCATTACAACTATCCCCTGTTCTTTTGTTATCCTCTCCACCCTCTCTATCTCTCTCTCTCTCTTTCTATCTTCTTTTTTCTTTCTTACTATCTCTAAGGGCATTTATCCTTATAACTACCTCTCTCTTTCCTTTATCATTATTTTTATACCCCCTCCCTCCTCCCTCTCTCTGTCTCTCTTCCTTCTTTCCTTCCTTTATTTCATCTCCAATACCTCACTTTTAACACACACACACACCCACACACACACACACACACACTCTCTCTCTCTCTCTCTCTCTCTCTCTCTCTCTTTCCTTTATCATTATCTTTATACCCCTTCCCTTCCACTCCCTTCCCCTCCCTCTCTCATTTCCTTCTCTAATAAAGCACTCCTATTAACTTGCTCTTTCTCTTCCTTCATCGTCATCTCTCCTTCTTCTTAATTTTCCACCTGTATATCCTGTATATTTCACATGATCAGGGTTTTTTTTCCAGTAACTAATGAAGAATAGATGTGGGATTTGGCCCTCTTTCAATTAAACTATAATTCAAAGATAAACATTTAACATGTAGGCCTACGTGCAGTAATTTTGTTGGTGATTCATGTTTAATAAGCATAAAATGACTTCATTATTAACTCCTATTGTATTCATCCATCAATACAAGAGCAAGTTAATGCTCTCTCATGTACCCTAACAACCACACAAAACAGTCCTTGTTGTTAGTGTAGTATTCTTACCTTGCGCTCTATCTAACCCACATAGTTTCATAACTTAATTGCATTGTTTTTACACGAGTATGAGCAGTTTCCCTCGATAACCCTGGAAATCGAGTTTCAGTTGCGGATGCGGGAGGGAGAGAGCGGGGCGTGGGTTTGCAGTCCATCAGGATTTTACACACAGAAACCAAAACTTTGCAGTTATGTATCACCAGCTGCTTCAGCATTATATAGGCCCTGTTCTCACTCACAAATAAGAGCGTTTTTATAGTGATGGATCCAAGAATCTCAGGTCTAGGGCATACACACACAGGTGTGTACAAAATGTACGGCAGTTTTGATTTGACCAAGGGGTACATCGATCCCCTGCCCTTCAATGTAAATCCCGGAATTCATTTCATCACTTTTTATTTATAATCCAATGACGACTGATATCTTTAATTATCATAGCCTTCATACAGGGACCATATGGTTCCAACAGGCAATGAGTTAAGAGCAATACAGAACGTAAATACAAGGAAACACTTTGTTCGTCTACATACAACCTGTACTACAATTTTAGTTTTTGTTTATGTGCATTTATTTTTCATTTGTTTTATTTTACACCAAATGCCAAAACTCTCTTCATTGGAACTCAACTGTCCCCCTAGACAACATGTACATACAAAATTATAGAACGGCTGTTTCCTGGTGCAGTTGTGCCTTTTTATCATGCTAAAGTGTGTTCCTATCAATGATGATCCAGCTGAGATCGCTCTTATTTTTACAGTGTGAATGGGGCTATAATAATACCAACTGGTTGGCTCAGCATGGTACAGGTTGAGAGCTTTCACTGAAAGGCCAAATCAATCATAAAAGTGGGTTGAGAGTGATTTATAATCACGTGGAGTTCATTAATACCACAAATGAAGGATCTAGGCATGCAATTATTTCTCTAAGATTATCAAGATGGGTGGATTGAAGAGTGTGAGGGGGAGGGAAGCTGTAGAACATCCAATCATGTAGATTATCAATGGAGCTATAAAAGTATAGCTCTTTGTTTTAATGTGGGGGTTTGGTAGGTCCATGGTTTAATCAAGTCATATCCTTGTGTATCGTTAATTTAGTTTGTACTCTTGTTTTTTTGAGAAGATCTTTCTAGAGCTAATTGCTGGTATTCGTTTGTTCAGAGCTAGAAGGGCATTAAACTCTGTGTTAAAGTATATGATTTGACAACCGTTTGGCTTCAAAGAGACAATATTATCAAAACCCCTATACTAGAAAGCCCTTCAGATGTTATGTAATTTTTGTTAACGTGTTCTAGAGCTTACGAAAGTATTTTATTTACCTTACACACTGGTAAAATAACTAATAATTGAATCTGTTTGAAACATTCATCATGTTGATTCCCTGAAAAAGTGAAAAATAATGTTAAAATGAAGTTTAAATAATACAGTAATGTTTCAAGCCAGTAAATACTATACAGTAGCACAACTGACATCCTTTTTAACATTCAAGGTTCGAGATATTGGGTGTGGATCTTTTCTTTCATTTGGCATATTATGGAGCTATAGGGCCAGCTCCAAAATGGATACGAACACATGATACAAGAAATTAAAAATGAATTTAAATCTCAAGGTATCTGGAATTTTCTTGAGATTTCTGTGACTCTCATGCCTTCAACAACATAGGGGAAAAGAGGAAAGAAGGATTGGATTTATAATCACGCAACTTTTTTTCTGAATTCATAAATCTGCAGCAGTTTATCCAAAATCTTTACATTTATGTGGACCAATAAACCTCTTCCAATGTATAGAGATATAACATTTCTTTCAGCTTGGAATTTCTGGATATATTCAGCAGTTTCCTGCGGATATCTTGGCGGATAGGCTCAAATAATTTTTTTAAATTCATAAATCTGCAGCAGTTTATCCAAAATCTTTACACTTCTGTGGACCAATAAACCTCTTCCAATGTATATAGAGATATGACATCTCTTTCAGTTTGGAATTTCTGGATATATTCAGCAATTTCCTGCGGATATCTAGGCGGATAGGCTCGAATAATCTCACTTCCCTCGCTTATCGGCAGGGCGAAGCATGATTAGAACATTTAATCGGAAAGGGAACCAAAGGATTCATGACTATTACATCCTAAGCGGTCAGCCGTGCTGCTGGAACATCAGATTATGTTCAAATAAATTGGTTAGGCTGAATGATTTGACGGTCATAAATATATGTTGTGATGGCACTTTTTAGAGGGTCAAGGATATCCAAAGCTTCCTTTATTGATTGATTTTTTTTTAAATTTGCTACTGTGTTTTCACTTACTTTTACATAGCTATCATGCACCTGTATTTGTACCGGGATTACGTCTTAATGTTTTCAAGAAGCATCTCAAAACTCATTTATTCAGTTACTACTGTAATTATAAAGCGCATTTGAACATGCATACGGGTATACGGAAAATGTGCCATGTAAATACAATATTGTTATAATGAGGGCTTATGTATGTTCAGTAAATCAGTGAAATTTGTGAGCTTTCTTTTTGTAAACATTCTTGTGAAAGCAAGGAAGTCACAAAAAATCTGAATAGAATTAAATTGCAAAGACTTTCGAGAAATCAACTCAAGGTCAAATTCAAAACCCTACTGTACATCCCATAGAAGCCATGTTTAGACAATATACCCTGATGTTAAGTAATGGTTGCCCCTTGTTCCTACAAATTAGGTTTAGAGGTGATGCCTCTATGTTTCAATACACTATTGATCATAGGAAATTGGACCAGTTTGCAAGTGATAATCATTAAACTTATTACATCCGTTTTTAATATTAGACTCACTTTTAGCATGAAACTAGACAGCTTTTGTTGAGAGGTGCCTCGATGCAGCTACCTCACTGATCATATCAATGTATCATTATCTTTGTTTCTCTATACAATGTTTCATATCCTATTAATATGAAGACTCACTTTCAGAATGAAAATAGACAACCTCTATACAGGGTGACATGATACAGGTCCTTTTATGTGATCAGTCTCTATAATGTTTCATTATATCGTCGTTGTGAAGCCGGAAGGGTGTTAACTGTGTGTCAAAATACAGTGTATGAGTTAACGCCCTTCTGACTCTCAACAAAAGATGTGAAGGAAAAACTACTAAAAATCAGTCTGGCTCTAAATAAATGATACTTGCTTCTTTATCCTATGTTTCTTATCCTCTTAATGTGGAGGACAGACTATTTGAAATCAGACAATCTCTTTTTTGAAAGGTACCCTGATGCTATTCCTTTCATCGATCTCCATAATGTATCACTTCCTCATTGGAAACATGGCATTCATTTACTGCTAACGAACCATTGGACGAGGTCATAAACCTTGTATTCATTGAGCTGTACACTTCGGCAGGTGCGGCACATGCAGAATTGAGCATGATTTCCGCCCGTCCGTTTGGAAGCCCCCCGTTCTCACTCCCATATTAATCTGTTGGCGGGCGTAAACCCTTGTCGGTTTAAAAGTATTCTAGATTTGGGGTAAAAACCATTAAAGGAGGTCATGAATTCTTGTACTCATTTTAGATGTGTACTTGGGCAGGCACAGCACATGCACAATTTAGTATGATTTCTGCCGTTTAAAAGCCCCCTGTTCGCACTTACAAATTATCTTGATGTACTAGACTATAGTAGACTACCAAAATATGATATTCTGTGTCCCCTGTAGCTATTCTCAAACAAGATTGTGTCATGTATATCCTCAACATCTTCAAGTGGCAATCTTGTATTACTGAATTATCTGCTATTCTTTACATTATAGACCAAACTAATAATCGGGCAATTTTGAAATTTAAAAAATTCTTTTTAGTTTTTTCCTATAATTTCATAATGCTTATCTACTTATTGACACAGTTTCTTATGCAAAATGAGTGTCATAACTGGTCTCAGTTAAATATTTTTCATTATACTGTCAGCCAGTATAGTGATCTTTTGTAAAGTTGTGATTCGTGAAACAAATTCTCAAAAAAATCATCAGAATGTGAATGGGGATAAGTGTTCTCCAGTAGACTCGAGCACAAATGTGCATAAAAAGAATAGCGTGACTGGCTGACGTACATGCGAAACGTGTTTATTGTATGATTGAATGCCAATGTGATCATCTTATTACAAAAGTGTGCCCTTTCTTTCGATCAAAGAAGGTCGGACCATTGAGCACCGTTCCTTCAAAATGTTCTCACGTAAAGCATATTCTATTAATATATTATGTGGTTATCAATAGTATAATTTTACCGTAATATTGAACTTCTTTCCCATTATTTTCAAATGCAGAAGTGAAACCAAGAATTCTTTCATTATTACATCATGGAAAAATCATATTTACCTGTTATTGAATAAATTTTAATATATTTGTTTTACGTTTTTGGGGAGGGGTGTTATTGAGTGCTATTGTATCCCAAAATTGTCCCACCTCTCCGAACAAAACCAAGTCCATAAAGCACCGAATTTGGGATTCCCCATTTTTGTTCCGATAAGGAATGATATTCTTCTCAAGTTGATTCGAGAACAATTCTCAGGTACATGCTATATTGTGCTCATGTGTACTAGTTCAACTTCCAAGGTCTGCCGTGATAGTCTTCTCATACATACCCATGGAACTTTTGACAACTCTTTATGTAACGTGCTATTTTCTTTTGCATCTGTCATAAGAATATACCGGTACTCCTTACAATAATAACAGATTATACTAACCTTTTTAAAATATATTCTGAGGAGTTTGGATTTAGATTGTTTAAGTCTGTGTGCATTGAAGTTCCATTATGGAACCCTTTTAAATAGCTTGAAGTTAGGGGTCTGGATCAAAAATGTACGTGCCCATATGCTCCAAACCATGCACTGTCTGTGTCTAGCTCTTTTTTTTACGTCAGGTTTCGTTGTATATCCTGAAATTTTTCATCATGTTTCTTGAGTGGAATTTTATATTATCACTATCAGACAGAAAAATGGTGAAATCTGACGAGAGAGGCTGAAAACATCTTAAAACGGTCATTGAGTGATATGATAATGACTGACTTATGTGAAAAAGAGGCTACATCCAATGATTTTAAGATTGAAATTATTATTGTAATTGATTTAATTCAAGTTTGGGTTACTCCAAGTGTTCAGAATGAAAATAAAAGATAATTAAACTTTGAAATTACACTAATGGCAATCTTTATGACCATTCCTTCCTTAAAAATATGTATCACATTGCTTGTTGACAAGATTTTGGTTGACAAGATTTTGGTTAATTCTAACCTTCTAGGAAATTCATCACTTCTATGTCTTGAACAAAGAGATAAAAGATACAGCTTATCAAAGATTTGTTGTTAATCTTTGAAAGCCAGTTTGCTTTAGAAATGCCAATATTTGTATTGGCACCTCACCTTTAAACTCGCTATAACAAATAAAATAATTATCAATTTATGGAGGAAGTAATTGACTCTATCTTTGATATTGTTTTAATATCATTTCTTTTGTTATTGACTGATATCCATTTAATTCTAATCTTTGACCTCCATTAAACAAATTTGATTTATGATATATATATATATATATATTGTCTGTTGAGAGCCAAGAGGAGCATTAAGTCCATGTTAAAGAATACAGCTAATGACCTTCTAGCCCTCAGTACACATACATATATGTAATTATATTTGTCAGGAAGTAATTTTAAATGTACCTGCATTTGAATGTTATTGATTTATTATGCCCATGGATGTTAATGTTTAACTGTGTAATGCGATATTCATATGAATGACCCTAATAATTTTGGCGCGAATGGCATCCCATGTTTCAGACCTAATAGCCTTCATGGAAATCACATCTGAACCGTAAAAGGATCCCTCCTCCAAGACTCCAAATAATTTTGGCAGACAGTTTTGATGACCACTTTAGACAGGGTGGCAGAGGTGGCTATAAAACTAAATATTTATTTATTTGTTGATCTTTTGTAGGATCTTCTAAAGCACACTCCAGAGCATCATGAAGATCACAGTATTCTGAGCCAGGTTCTTGAGAAGACCAGGAAGTTCTTCAAACAAGTTGATGAAGCTACGAGAGAGATACACAGCACAAAACAGGTATGCAACAAACAAAGAAGCAGACAAATAAACAAACAAACAAACAAACAAATAAACAGAGCAAGCTTAGAGTATCATGAATATTACAGAAATCCGAGCCAGGTTCAAACAACAGGCACATTCACATAAATGCAATCGATCAAACATTACAAACAAACAATTATGAGTTCACTCAATGTACTTTTTGACATTTCTAAGGCAGACAAAATAGCCGTGTGACATGTTCAGGACATCATAAACTAAAAGTAACACCTAGTTTAATAAATCACTTTCAAAATTTGTAATGTAAAATGATATTCTTAATTAGTTTGAGCAATTTTCTATCAAAATTAACAATATAGTATTGCATATGTTTTATTTGGGTACCACTCCGGCCATCTATGAAGCGATGTGAAAATAATTGAGTGGGTTTTTGTTAAATGTCATTATTACTTCTGTTAAACACATATGGTTGGCAAATACCGGTAGATATATTTTAAAGCAGCAATCAAGCGAAATGACTAATTTGACTAAAAGTACAATGAGGGAAAGAAGGCCAAGGGAAGACCAAACTTTCAATAGGTTTACCGGTAGTATAAACCTTGACCATCCGAGAGAGAGAGAGAGAGAGAGAGAGAGAGAGAGAGAGAGAGAGAGAGAGAGAGAAAGAGAGAGAGAGAGAGAGAGAGACAGAGAGAGACAGAGAAAGAGAGAGAGAGAGAGAGAGAGAAAGAGAGAAAGAGAGAGACAGACAGACAGACAGACAGAGACAGAGAGAGAGAGAGAGAGAGAGAAAGAGAGAGAGAGAGAGAGAGATTATCATTATCCTCTATGAGTGGCAGAAGGGCATTAGGTCTATGTTAGTATATAGGTAAGTGTCCTTCTCGCTCTCAGCAGATGCTACACCGGTTTCCTTTTTGTAGAGGAAGTATACTCTCCATGCTGTACACATTGACCATGGTGGAGGTAGAAATGAGTGCCACATCTGTAGTCCTTGTTTAAAACTAATTTCACAGTGGTATACAGTATACAGAATTGCTGATGTTTCTTTGTAAAGATTTAGGCAATCCACATATAAATACTTTTAATTTAGAGTGTAATCAAATTCAATTCAAAGCATTATGATTTTAAAAGCTATTTATTTAAAGATCATAAGTCAATTTTGTAAACCAACAGTATTTGCAGCTGCTTTTATTCAAGATAAATTAGATTTTTTGAAGTAACATAAAGTGTAGGCCTATTTGGAGTACCGGGTATCTGCACGTAGGACAGATGTGTAGACAAGTTTGATTGTACTCATAAAATGATAAGGTATGTCAAGAAACTTTAGGAATAACTTTATAATGGAGCTGTACTTTGAATGATTAAAGAAGAAAGGGGGAAAGCAAGAAGAAAGGGGGAAAGCAGGAAGAAAACAAAATCATTTAAAATGACTTTGAAATACACTCAGGATGAATGAAGGATAGATTTTAGAAAAGAAAGAAAATACAGATGTGCTGGCTTACTGATATTGCAGCACTATCAAATACAATCTTTACAAAATTATATATATCTTAACGCCAAGATATAGATATGGCTGTAGGATTATTCTCTCACTTGTGAATAACTCCATCACACACTCTTTATGCTAGAAAATAAGGTGCAAAATTCAAGGTGTTGGGCTATAATCAACTTAGAACCGCCAAATTAACTTGGCAATGTGTTTGACGTCTTGCGCTAGGCAACCTAATGCCTGGTTGTAAGTTAGCCCTTTGTCTTGGCGAATAAATTGAATTAAGAGAGTATTCCCGCTGGAGTAATCTGCGAGTAGTACAGGTAATTCGATCGAGATGTAAGAAGTTTGGGCTTTTGAAGATTGTGGAATCGGTGTTAGACCTTATGATACAACATGAAGTTATGCTTCATATTAAAGACATGTAGTCTGGTAGGAATATTACGTTTCATCTCATTTCAATGCCCCACCTTGAAGTAAAGATTTGCAATTGATTTAAATTGATTGTCACTTGAAATATAATAATAAATCTGGATTTATAAATCACGTAATACAGAGTACAGATATCATTAATACCCCGTTCATTTGATTCTTCTGGCACATAGTGTGCACAATTTACACTCCCAATTATATTACTGTATGTGAAGAAAATTAAAGATTCTTGATTGTTAGGAAATGTGGGTATATATATAGTTTGTTCATGTGTTTCTCTGTACATCATTTCCAGGGAATGGAGATGGTGCACATTGTACGTGAATAAATCCGATGACCGGGGTAATAATAGCTGTAAAGCACTTAGAGACGGTATTCTGTATTAAGCGCCATATAAATCCAGATTAGTGTTATATTATGTGCAATATTATGGTGAACATCAAACACATATTCCCATGTACAGTAAACACTGTCTACATTTTACAACCCTCTACACCGAAAGAGGAAGTGTTATTTCAAAAATCACGAAAGCTAGAGCATTAAAGATAAAGGACAAAGGAAGAAACTCTTTGAAAGATTACCTGAGATAAGTTGACAACCTTTTGAATAACAACCTACCCTTCTATTTATAACCCTCTGAAGATTGAATGTTTGGTTTCCATGGCAGTTTCAAAGGAATTAAAACAAATATTAAAATGCTCAGTGTTTTAGTTAAATTATGGGAAATATATTGGGTGTGGGGAATGTGGGAGCAATCAATATTTTTGTGACTACTGGTACAATGTACATTAAAATAAAAATCCCCTTCAAACTTTTGTGGAATAATTGTTATGAGAATATTACTATCGATTTCCTCATTTGTAATATGAAGGAGTAAACAAATGCAAGCAAATATTCTCATGGGTTTGGAACCCGGGGCCTTTCAGTTACGAGACCACTGCCCTACCACTGAGCCACTGCGCAATCTCTTCAAATTTCATGTACGCCAGTTGATAAAAAGAAACATAAGGAATAAGGTATGAAAAATAATAAATATGTTTTATTGCTTTTATCTATTTCAGAAGCGAGAGTTGCTACGTCAGGGTTACCTGGTTGAATGGACAGAGGGAGGACGTAAACTAAGGAGGGTACTCCTCTGGTCCGACCTCATCATCTGTGCTTCCAAGAAAAACACAAGGTATCTATGTTATCTTCATCAAAAAAGTCCATTGTTTTTACTGATATTTGTCCCTAAATTTATTGTCTTTTATAATCTAGGTATCAATTGTATATATTGGTATTTAATTTGTATGATTGTAAGGAGGCATTATAATACTAGTGTTATATGAAGAATTGTATTTGTTCACAGAATTCAATGGATAGTTATCTCTATCTCTCTGCTAAAATTGAAATTAAAACTAAAAAAAAATGAAAATGATAGGTAACATGTTCAGTTGCATCTGTATTAATTGTAACCTTATAAGTAGAAATCTTCAATATTGTATTATCCAAATTATTTACTTGCCATGCAGCGAGGCTTTAGCATACATCCTTGTACACATATGTTCATATTGGTGAATACATTGAAGAAGAAGTTGGTCATTGCTATCAACTTTCTTGCATATCCTCAACGTATTTGTCACCCGATCTACTAACATAAACTTCTGCTGGTTTAATTTTTTTCAGTGGCATGTTCCAACGCGACCGAGGTCAGTACGACTTCCAATGGTACATCCCTCTCACCGAACTGTCCCTGACACCGAATGATCGATGCGAAGGTTGGTCCTCATAGAATATTCTTGAGTATGATTCATGGCTTTACGTCATACCCACGGATTGAGCATACATATATCAAGAAGTTAAACTTTTTGCATATATCATACAGGTCAAAGCCACCATTGTATGGCTGTAGGTGCTATTTGGAATTTATCAAAATCTACCGGGAGCACCAGTAAATTTTTTATATTCAATTGTTCTTGAAAGCAGAAGTGTTTTAGGGGATAAATTTTCTAGTGCTTATAACACATCCACAGGGGCATCCAAATGTATCAAAATCGTAAAGAATTACTATCCAGCCAATTTTTCAAAATTCCCCAAACTTTGTATTACCTTTAACAAATAGTTTTTCCTTTCAAAGACATGTACCTTTCATATTGTATTTGGATCTTCAATTACTTTAACAAATAATTGCTTTGAATTGTAAGCATTACACTACATGTACTTTCATTGGGACCACCAGGTACCACCATAGACCATTGACCCTCTTCCATTCTCTTAACGACTCTCAATAGATGGGTTAAGGGTTTGAATGTTTAGCCTGGTGCATATATATCCATAGACAAGACACATTTTATCTACAATTGCCTCTCTTGACCCAAGTGTTAAGTGGGTAGGGTTTGTTCCTTGACACGTGCAATGTGTGCTGGTAACAGCTGTGATAGATACTTAGCAAAGGTAGTTATTTCAAAAGTACTTTTGCAAGTGGCGGGAAAGTGTGGACCACACTTTTCAGCATTTCTTTTTATGTCAGTTTGGAGGAATATTATAGAAATGTCCACTGAAATTGATTGGTCTTCAAAAAAACCTTGTATTTTAAAGCGGTACTGCACTACTTGTAGCTACTTGCGCCCTCTATATATCGTCCCTATTTTCACGAAGTGACGGTAGTGAGGAAAATCGTAACGCAAAGTGAATGCAATTTTTTTCAGTACCGTCACTTCGCGAAAACAGCGACGAATTATAGCCAACAATGCCTAAGCACGCGAGCGGTACCCATTGATCCCCCATGGTCCCCTTTTTCTTATGTTAAGTGAGAGCTGATTTGATGAGATAACCACCTGCAAGTGACCACACAGGGAGGTCTAATTCCCCTTGGCCAAACTAGTGCAGATAGAGTTTAAACATACCAAGAAAATCTGACAAGTTTAGACCTAAGTCCATAGGATGTTATATCATCCATGTCGTATGATGCTTGAGCTATACAAACAAATATCAGTAAAATCATTACAAGTCGTGTCACTAAATGAATCCATTACTCCTGACTTGAGAAGGGTTGAGCCTACTACCTCTGGAGCTCTGAACCATGAGATCACTGAACTGCCGAACCACCAAACTTAGCAGTAGATTACAATTTGGTCTAGTGTCATTTGGTCTAATTGTCAAATGATACCTAGTAGTCACAGTAAAAGTACATTTGGCAAATTGTTCGCCCATCTACTTTTCGTCCAATGACCATTTTGCCCATGTGTATTGTGGACAGACTGGGTATAGACTACCGGTAAATGAAGTTGGACAAAATGTCATTAAACCAACTTTTCATTAATTTTTTACCCTCTCTCTTTCTCTCTCTCTCTCTCTTTCTCTTTTGTTATCATGCTGTAGCTGAACCAGATGTAGTTGCTAAGAGTGATGCTGAGTTGAGACAGATGAAGAAGGACATCTCAGAACTACAGGAGAAAATCAAGAGGGACAAAGCAGCAGTAAGTATATAGAGCAACATCATACTATTTGAACATACATAGGGAGGGAGGGGGGAGAAAGGATCCTTCCCCCCCCCCCCCAAAAAAAAAAAAAAAAAAAATAATAATAATAAATAAATAAATAAATAAATAAATAAATAAATTAAAAAAATTTAAAAAAATAAAAAATAAATAAATAAATAAAAAAAGAAAAGAAAAAGAGAATCCATGTACATCACAAACAAAGAATATTCTGTGGAACTCTAGTGACAACATCTGCTTATAAAGTGGTGGATTTATGTCTGTTTATTACCTGAATTTATTACCTTAGTTTATTTTAGCTTGAGTGTATATTTCCTCTCCTCAAATGATGACTTATATAATTCCATGTACTTGTATTTCAGAAACAATCAAACGCTATCAAGAAGAGCATCGAACAGAAGAGGAAACAAGCAGCAGAGTTGGTAAGAACCCTTTCCATTTAATGAAAAGAGGTTACTGGCCCATGCAAGTGTGGCAAGCAAATAGCAAAATCTTTGTCGCCAATTTTGGTAAAAAAAGGGCACAGATCTTTATAGTTAACTGGCAAAACTCTAATTTTGTATATATGCAAGTGATCACTATAAAGATCCCATAGCCATGTTTGACAAGTGTAAAGTGTTGATGCTTTAATACAGCATGTTGAAATAATGTAGATACTGAATACTAATCCAATGAACCATTTTATGAGGTAATAACCTCCCTGACTCCTACACATTCTCTTTGGACCGATGTGATTTGCTTTCATGGTTTAAAAAAGACCTGAACAAATAAATTATTTCCTTGTTCTTTGTTGATTGCTAACAAGCTGTTTATAACATATGAGCCTAATTAACCCTTATAAACCACACACAGATAAGAATTGTTTGGCTTGCATATGTATGATGTCTTTGCAAAGTGAGATATGGGATAACATTCAAAACTATTTTCTTTGAATAAAGAAACCATCTACTACAAGTTAAACTTAGAGCCAAATATCATGTGATGAATCAACTAAATTTTGTTGTGGAAATTACATTCAATGGAGCGCATACTTACAGTACAATACACGTTTGTCGGCTTTGTTAGCCATCTTTTTTTCTCTGTGCGGTATGACGCACGAAGCCTGCCCTTTAACCCCCCTAGTTGTGGTCTGAATAATAGCTAGCACACTGTTAGGGACACAGAAATTTAGTTTCCATCACGACACCCAAAAATCATTTTCAGAATCATATTCGATACCCCAGTCACATCAGTGAAACTAACAATACACAGCCCAGACTGAGCAAGCAATTATATTACCCTCAATGGCCAAATATCGGTCGGTTTGGAGTCGATGTGGAGTGGGTTTGGCGGTAGGAATGAGGTATTACTTGCATGTACAGTGTGAGTACAAAAAACGAAAGGTGAACTTATGTTTAAGCCACAATATCCTAAAAAATGAAGTATCTGGAATACATTGTAATGGTAAGATATAGCATATGTCTTCTTCCAATATACATTTTGGTCACTTAAATGTGATCTTGGCTAAATGAGCGCTGGGCTTTCTTTTGTTAAATGTCAAAATTACACTTTTCTGTTTTTGATGAATGGCGTTTAGGAGTTACTCTCATTGTGTGTGAATGCATTCATTTGACCTTTGACATTCAACCTAGTTTTAGTTCATTGAAATTCATTAAAATAAACTTGGGTAGAGGCAAATTGGGTATGTATAAGGAAAAATATTGCTATTCAGTTGTCCATGGACAGATTTTTTTTATCAAGGTATGAAATTAAAGAACCCAAAAGTACCTTAGAGAGGGGTTTAAAGCCATCAGTCTCCTTGTTGCTTACTTACAAGCTTATACAAACTCTCTTAGCAATCGGGTACAAACAAACCATCAAACCATTTAAGGAAAGCATAATAGGCTATTAGGTGAGTACCTTTTACTATATATCAATATGTGCCAAGTACAACGATATTTAGGTTTGAAATTAGGTTTCCTTTTTATGAATCACATTGTAGATTTTTCTCTAATTCTATTGACATAATACTTCTATTCATCCATTCATGTTATGATTTCAATGCTTCAATGCTTCACTATAAGTTCAAAAAATGCATTTTGTTAGAGTAAAACCACAAGAGGAAAGTCCCTCTCTCGAATTCCTTGCGTAATGGGAGAGTCCCCTTAATATGTTTTTGGGGATCATATCGAGTCATTCAGGACAACCTTTTTTCTAGATTTCTCTCCTATTGTGTGATTTTATGCAAAGCCCTAAAATTATATCAGATGCATGCGCAGAAAGATCAAACTATTTCTACATAATGTTCATTTGGTTTTTGTTGCCATATGGCTTTGATAGCAGGAATTTAAATGAGAAGATAAGCAGTAAAATCATCAAATTGGCAACATGTTGAAAAGTTCAAATAATTTTCTATACAAGTCGACACTTTTGTAACTTTATGAAATAATTCCTGTCAATATATTTATCTTCTTTTGGACATATGACACTATCAGAAAATGTGGCTGTTAAAGAAAAACTCTAAATACACAAGCTGATTAATTTAGACCTTGAATGTTTCTGTCACAAATGGGTTAAAATTACATGTGACATGTTAGCAGAGTTTCAATCACTAGTAATCACAATCAGACTTTACATTTAAGTGGTGACTTTTAAGTTTTGATACAGAATGAAAACCATAGTTGAGAATCGATTTACAAAAACACAAAGAAAAAACATCTCAATTGAGAGTCAAAGACCTTTTCTTGAACGCCATCTAATTGTATAGTTATTAAGTTTTGTCAGATTTTATGGTTATGATATGCTTCTATTATTAGTGTGTCAATTTTATTATTTCGTACATCTACCATAGCTGCTTAAACACTGACAATTGTTTGCATATGAAACCAGTTGTGGGTTGTTTCAATGCCAACAAATGAATGATAATTTTTCATTTCATAGTGCTACACGTATATCCAGTTATAAGTTCAAAGCACTTTACAAAATCGAATTCATCAATGCCATAAATATAACCATATTTTTATACATCAATACTGTAAAAATAACACTATTTGTAAACATCACTACTATAATACTATAACACTATTTGTATACATCAATACTGTAAAAATAACACTATTTGTAAACACCACTACTATATTACTATAACAATATTTATATACATCAATACTGTAAATATAAAATTGTTTGTATACCTCAATACTGTAAAAATAACACTATTTGTAAACATCACTACTATATTACTATAACAATATTTATATACATCAATACTGTAAATATAAAATTGTTTGTATACCTCAATACTGTAAAAATAACACTATTTGTAAACATCACTACTATATTACTATAACAATATTTATATACATCAATACTGTAAATATAAAATTATTTATATACATCAATACTATAAACTTAAAGGTAAAGACCAGTAATGGTCATGCGATTGCATTGTAAAAGAAACGTTGTGGAATCGATCAGAAAAGGTTGATCATCTAGCATCTAGCATCTGCAAGGTTCTGGAATCATCAAAATGATAAGAAATTTGGCCCATTCTTCGTAAAGTTACAAGCACTATACACAGAAAGATGTATATGGGACTACCCTATCTCTCTCACACGACCATGAGAGAAATAAATTTACCAAATATATGAATTAGTAGGCGGTTTCCCGGCAAATTTTTTATCATCATGTATTAGTCAAAACATATTCTTTCACATGATTGGTAATGAGAGCTTCCATTTCATTTTTTGAAATTGGGGCGTTACCAATACTGGTCTTTACCTTTAACACTTTCTAAAAAAATAGTGTCAATGGATTTAAGTTCTTCTAATCCAATTATGTTATAAAGGTCATGAATTCCTAGAAAGTCGCCCAATAAACTATTACATTGCTTTTAGTGCTGTTGACTGCCAAACTCCAATGTTTTCTATTCACTTCTTCTGACTAAAGCTCAGCTTGGATTTCTTTTTACTGTTCAAAATGGCTTTAATGATTGTGAAGTTCAGTATCATGAAACACTGTGTATATTAAGGTAACATAAATCCATTTAAAAAGAAGAAAAAAGGAACTATGATTAAAAATTGTCTTGCTAAATGTTACTTGTAAATAATACTTGCTTGTGTTTAGAAACCAGATGTTTGGTAGTCAGCATGAAAAGTTAAACTGTAAAACGATTATGCTGGTACTCTTTTATCGCTGTTATAGGTACATTGTTTCCTCAATAAGGTATACAGGGTATCAAATTAATTGATTCACAGATGTGTTGGGATCCTAGTATTCCTTCATCTCTGCGTTATATTTCTAGCACATTGAATCACATAAATATTAATTGCAGTTGTAAAAAATATATTCATAACAAAGGGACTTTTTGGTCATAGCCCTACATATAAATGATTAAAAATGCTTAAATAAAGCAGGATTCAAGCAGCCACAGTGAAAGTTGAATGCATTAATTCACTAATTATTTATCCTCATCGTCATGTATTGTGAATACAATTTGTTTGATCTTTTGTTTTTGATGTTTTTTTTTATTTGCAGGAGGTAGGATACGTTCTGGAATCACCCAATCTTCCATTCCATTTATACCATCATTCAGGAAAGGTAAATTCATCCAAATATTATTTCTGGTATTTAAAATTTCATACAGTATTGAGTTTCAAAGTCACATGTGTATGTAATTGTGGGTTTCACATGTATATGGGCTTGACTAGTAGAGGAGGTCTCGAGTAAAAATTTGCATGTGAATAGTTTTCTGCTCTGTGCATCAGATTTATGAGCAATTTTTTTTAAAGCTTGAAAATGAATCAAGATACTGAAAAGATATTATTACATATATTTTATACATGCATATTCTTCTAATTCAATATGTTTATTTTTTTCATTATTATGCAGACCTACACCATTTTGATGTCGTCGGACTATGAGAGATCGGACTGGAAGGACTCCATCTTGTCAGCGAAGAGGGAGTGCAGAATCACGCCCTCTATCACCCCGTACCACGTCAGCAAGCTCATACCAAAGACAAGAAGGGTGAGAACAGTTTACAGTACCATTCTCCATCAATGATCTATGACACATGCTCTAACAACAATAGCTCAGCAGTTGAGTTCCAACATTAACCATTTCCCACCACTGCCACCATGAAATATACTGGAGGGCGGTTCACAAAGTCTTTTTTCAATGACAAATAACAAAAATCAGTGACAAATCTGCTGATAACCAATCATAAGCAAGGATTTCAGTAGCTTATAACACAAATTGTCATTTGTCACTGATGACAAGTTTTGTGAAACGCCCCCCCCCCCCCCCTGGAGACTCCAACAAATCATATCGTGATGCGGTGATTACAGTTTGATGCTATTTATTAAGCAACAAGCATCTCTGATTGTATTGTTGTCATAGTAGTGTCTCTTTGAATAAGCAAACAACCAAGCAATATGCCTGAATGTATTGCACATGTAACACCGAACCTGGCATGGCCCTATATCTTTGATGAAATGTAGCCCAGAACGTATGTCGCCAGAGCAAATGCCAGGCTCTTCCTTGCTACTTCGGAACATGCATTTGTATGTTACTGTGACATTAACCCTTACAGCTTATCATAGCAGAAATATTTTATACCAAAGATAAGACGGGAGATAAGGTCTGGGGAAGTACATGTACTATACTCTGTACTGTTAAATCAGCATGCATGAATGTTCACAAAAGGTTCAGATTCAGTTTCATGTCGCCAAGAAATCATTGAATCGCAACTGCATGATGCACCAATTAAGTTTTTTAATTTGCAAAAATTTCCTACCATGAATTTCTGTGGTTGTAGTGCATTCAACCCTTGCTGCTTTGTAATGTATATATCAAGTTCAGGTAGAGTCAATGAGCTAATGGACCTTTCCCTTTATCAAATCGATGAACAACAAGTTGTAATTAAAAGCACTCGGGTAAAACAAATACTGTATACCATCTAAACTCATGATTGTTTTTTACATTTATGGTCTTGGGTACCTTTTGTGATTGTCAAGTTTTTGTTGTGGTCATAGTGTATTTAATCGCGTTTCCTTCCTTTTTCCTGTCGCCATTTTGCATTCAGGGTCGGGATTCATACGTCAACATAAGCTCGGTCCTGTTGAAAGACAGTGAGTATAGAACTTTTTTTCTCTGTTTTTCTTCTTTTTAAAATGAAATAATTACTTATGCATGTGCTCCAAAGTTTTGCCTGTGGTGTACTGTGAGTACAGATATTGAAGGGGCACTGTTTTTATTGTTTTATTTTTCTTATGGGGGGGGGGGGTACTAGACTTACTAGCAGGATAAAATGCAAGACAACAAGGCTATTGAGTGGATGGAAAGTTTGCACCCTTCTCTCTCTATCCTTCTCTTTCTTTTTCTTGCATCCTCTCTTTTGTACTGTTTATTTATTTATTTTTTGCCACAATTGGGGTCATGTGCCCATATTTGTTAATGCGTGATGAAGCCAGTGTTTAATACTATTTCAAGGGAAGTGGATGAACAGGGAGATATTTAAACTAGACTTCTCAAAATTTACCAGTAACTTAATTTTGTTCATATTTCTTTCTCTCCAAGTATTAAAGAAGGTGTAATCATGATTTAGGATTATTAGGGGGGAGGTAAAAATCCAAAGATTGAGGGGGGGGGGGGGGTTATACGATCTGCCCCAGGGAAGCCACCTGTGTACATTAAACTTCACACGTAGCATTATTAGTGCTAATATGAAACTGAAACAAAGTCCAAGGATTTCATATGCTTGCCTTACAACACCAAATGCAATAAAATGGTGCCTACATACATGTCCTGTGCTTTATAGCATTATCCAGGTCAAAACATTCCAGTTTAAGGGAGCCAATCACTTAAAGCTAAACTTTAGTACTGGTAATGCGATTGCATTGTGAAAGAAAAGGTGTGGAAAGGATCAGAAAAAGTTGATCATGTAGAATGTAAGTATTGGTGTGCACTGCAAGGTTCTAGAGTCATCAAAATCATAATAAATTTGACCGAGTTTTGGTAAAGTAACACGCACCGTACACAGAAAGCTATATATGGGACAACACGCATGTTGTCGGGGCTGGTACTACCTTGATTTCCTTGTCTTTCTATGCTCATTACTCAGCCAGTATACATTTTCTTCCAAAATTGTTTGGCACATGACATTTATTTGTAATCTTGAACATTCGGTGTAAGTTTCGTTTGATTCTGTGAGAATTCATTTTCTTTTTTTTACCAGTACTGGAGTTTCTCTTTAAAAAGAAAATTTAAAGTTAATATTTATAACAAATAAAAAGAATGACACAAAACTCTACTCATTAATCAGAAAAAAGAATCAGGTTCAGTGTGCACGCTTTTATACAAAGTCAAGTACTTTATCGAAAGGGTGTGTTTACTTTCATTTACAAAGTATTTTGATTATTTAAGTTTTCTTTAAAGAAGCCATATCGGAAGCTGATAGGTGATAGCTGATATGGAACCCAAAACATCTTAGGGCAATTAAAAAAGTTATATATTATTGGCCCCCTTTAAAATCTGATATTATTGATTGAAGTGCAGTATTATGTGTGCAAGTAGTATTCAGTGTCAATATGATTATTTTGGTTTTAATTAGAGATTGTGCTTTCAATTGTGCCACTCCAAAGCTTTAGAATAACCTACCACTAGACATAAGAAAGCCTTAATTTGTTGCTGTCTTCAAAGTTTTGTTGAAGTTGCACTTGTTTTCAGGAGCTTTTGAATAGTTTTTCTGTATTGTGAGCCTCTGGAGTAGCACTGTTAAGAGTTTTGTTTTCATCACAGCAAAGTAGAGTATATTTGTATAGCACATGTAGCTGGGCTTCATAAATTGCTTTAATTATTAATTTATTTATCTCCTATCTCTTATGTACATGTTTGTCTTGTGAGTCACTTAATCTATACCAATGTATGTTGAAGTAAAAGTTTTACGATTATTATGTAGTATTTATTATCGATATAAATGTACTTTGGCATTATTTTCTTTATCTCCTTTTATTACACAAAAAGCGAGTGTTCCTTGTAGGTGGAGTCATATTATACAAATATTGCATGCTCCGGCATTCAATAACAAAATATACAAATATATAATGAAGTTTCATTTTTCGACGAGGCCACAGACTGAGGTTTGAAATATAATGGCATGAGCAAAATTCTGAATTTGGATGTGCATATACAGTGTATGTTATCCACTGAATGAATATTTGTTAAATAAAATTGAGGGTATTTGTGATCTCATGTGGCCTTGCCCCTTTGGAGTTAGGATCTCTCAATTGCATACAGGTTTCCTTTGTGTCAGATGCACAATACACACAATGGGGACGGGTAGGGAAGGGAGGTGCACAATCTCATTCACTTTTGTATGCATTATACAGTTCCCCCAAAAGGTTGTTATGTTGATGATAACATTTATGTTGAATGCTCGTGCAAACGTGATAACATGTTGAGTCTCATGTGACACCCTTCCCGCCAAATAAATATCACGCAGTTGCATACGTACTACATGCATTTATCTTACTGCCTATTTATGTTACCATCTGGATTTTATTGGGGTGTTCACTGGAAAAGATATTCATAAAGCCTTGTTTGATGACTTTATTATTAAGATATATTGTATAACTTAAAGGGAATGACGATTGAGTCACATATTAGGAATGGGAGTGTGAATTCCTAACCATTTTATGTTCAAAATTTAATGACAAATTTTTAGTGTATGGTGTACAAGTTTATTAACTGGAAGAATTATGAGTAACACCCAGTTTTCTTTGAAATAGGTATACGTTATTTTCATTATATTTAAGGTTATGAACATTACAGATTCAGTCAATAATCAGCTATAAAGCAGATTGCTAGGAAAATGTCGTCATTAAATGAAGCTGACAGCTCACTTTGTACTTTTAGTAATATCCTACAGGTGACATACAAAACAAAAAGGGTTCATTACTACCGGTAATTACCAGTATGCTCAGTAATTTATGCCAAACTTGTTGCCATATTTGCACATATACCTTCGAATGACCTCAATTTGGAATGTAGAGGATTCTGGATCATGATCTGTCTATCCTATTGCACCAGTGTAGACTTTCTGAAATGAGGCAGGTCATAGTATGGATTGCAAAACAGGAAGATGATCGAGCAATTAGGCAGCTATTCGTCTTCCTGTTCTCTCACATGGGTTTCTTTCTTTTTTCCCAATTTTTTTATAGTTTCTTTGTTTTCTATTCAGCATGTTTTACTGAATGAAAAGCAGAAGTTCTGGTAAAATGTGAAGAAAATGAAAGTTGGTACACTTTTGCATTCTTTTCATCTACATAGAGAAATGTCTAATTATTACTCGAAGCTATGTCACGTGAAAAGGATTCATTTCCCTTGAAAACATAGGTTTTGGTAAAATGTGAAGAAAAAGAAAGTTGGTATATATGCACTTTCGCATTCTTTCATCTCTACATTGAGGAATGTCATAGTAGACGAAGATATGTTTAATGCAAGAAAAGGATTTCCCTTGAAACGTCCTAAATAGATTTCAATTATGACTATAGAAATAGGTTAACAATTAATGCATTGGACCAACTTTGTATGCCTCATGTTTGTATATTCCCATATACCCATACCAGTATATGTGTGTGTAGGGCAATTCACTCTGTGACATTAATTTTTAGCAAGACAGGGTTATTTTATTTTCACTTTGATGATCCCCCAAAAATCTCCCTCACATTACACAAGTATTCTTACGTATTACATTATCAACCTTTCCCAAATGCACATCTAACTTCGAGACAGTTTCTTTCAAAATCATGCAATCATTAAACCAAAATTCAACATTATCTAACTGAATTAAGACAGTCCTGTTTGTTCATATGAGATCGCACATTTTGTACTTTTGTTCTCATTAATCTAATTATGTAGTAATTTTGAAGTAATGGGAGCGCCTTGAAGCATATTGACCATGATTGAAACTTGTTTGATAGATTGCGTGCATTAATGTCAGGTTTATAGGGCTGTAAATGGTGCTTTTAATTAATTAATTATTCTGGGGTGTGCTTGTTTACTTAAGATCATGTTTCAGTGAGTACTTTAGGAAGAACAGGTGCATACTTAGGCCTTTCCGTGACGTGGGCAACATATCCTGCCTGAAATATGAAGTCAATTTAGAACATATTAGGAATAAATACCGCCATTTCTCTGCCTAAATCCTAAATTAAGTATATATATAACAACCTAAAGACAAATTTTCAAATTGAGTCATAAACTAGGGACATATGTCCTTAAGTCAGTTTTTATACCCCATAAAAGTGCTACAAGTTTAATGTCATTAGAACCATGAAAGTTTTCACATGAATATGTAGCGAAACCTAGAACTAGAACTAATAAATTGACTCATAAAAACTCCATTTAATGTGTTCTTGGTTTGTAAACCAAATTGCACATTAAAGTTTGAGAGAACTTCAGTGAAGGGTTTCTGGTGTTCAGGTTTCTGGTGTTCAGTGGTGTATGGAGTTTAAAGCAAGTTGTGGGTACAAAAGTTACAGTTTTTTACTCCGGTCAGTGAAAGATTAATGTAAAACCAAAATCTTTTGCATGTATGATTTTTGTCCAATGTTACACATGGCCAAGATTGATGAAAGTTCATAATGCAAAATAATTGACTTACAGCATGAGATCTTTGCCATTTGCAAAGTATTTTGCCCCTTTAACAATCACTAATAACTCACGTAAGTTTAAGGTTGCAATCTTGTTTGTTTTGAAGTTCAATTTCACTCAAAGGCTCTTGGCATGATGAAGTGAGGATCACACATGTGACGAAAATGTGAATGTTTGAATTTTGTCATTGTGTGTTCTATAACTATCTTTTGTCTTTACCTCTCCCTTTACAGATGATGAACTGCTTACTGGTATGCTGCATGTGACAGTGAAAGAAGCTCGAGGGTTAACAGTCCCATCCCGTAAGTTCGATCAATGCATGACATGTAATTGAATTAATCCATTGCCTATGGAAACCTGATGGCCCCTGAAGTTAGCCTATAGGAAATGAGAAAATTCAGTAGTCAATGAGTTAAGGATGGATAAATATCTTTATCTAATGATGCTATATTTATGGAAGTAAAAGATATGATTCATCTGTTTGGAGCCAGAAGGTTTTTATCTCTGTGTAAAATAACGTGACAGAACTGTGTCTAGCTCTGTGAATTTGACCTTTGTATGCATATGCTTGTCGATGTCACAACTATCTCTTCTCTGCTAGCTACGGTGGTATCCCACTCCTGACACCCAAATAGTTTAATCCAATAGAGATTGCATGTGAGAGAGAACTTCTCAGTGCTCCATGAATTTGTGTGCATACCCGTACCTGTGACATCCCTATAAGATTGAAGTCATTACATTTGCATTAATCTTACATCTTACAAAACTGCAGCACCAAACTAAAAGGGTCAAACGGATCTTAATGACGGCTGGGCATAATCCTTCCCCCAAGAGGGCAGCAAACACAGAGGTACATTTCTCTTGTATGTTGTCTTTACAGAAAATTTTAATTTATTTATCTTTTTTTATTTTATTATTTCTTTCTAACAGAGCTGTATTGTTGTCTAGAGACTGATGCATATGGAATCTTCTCTCGCATGGCAAAAACTAGGAAGACGGCAAATACAATCACACCGAAGTGGAATGAGGTATTATTTTCTTGTTTGTAATTTGCTTTGAGATTTTTTTGTTTTATTTGCCAGGTAGAATAAATGTACATTTGAAGCAATCAAATACTTTGACAGGTCACAAATAGCTTATTATGAAGGGGATCCTTTAATACATTTATTTCATTCTATAAGAAGAATGGTTCATAATGTATCTAGGAATATTATGATCTATCCAAAAAAAAAATTAAATGGGACAAACAATACCTTACATATAGCATCTGGTTTTTCATTGTTTTTCTGTCAGTCACATACTTCTCCTAGTAGAACATATTTTATGAAACTTTTTTTGAGGTCCTGCAAATGCAGGTGCAACCTTATACAAACTATGCTTGTATGCTGGATACTCATATTAAAACTATAAAACATTAATGTTTGTCTATATTATTGTCACTGATTACTTCCTGATTAATTCAAATATTTGACATCCATCACAACTTGTCACAGTAACATAGATTTATTGCATTGTTGTTGGTTGCTAATTGTCTCCCTCGGTTTTGCTTTCATATTTCTGTTTTTTTGTATTGTATGTTCGAGTTGGGACCTTGGAGAGAAGTGGGCTCTCCAAACTTAAGAATAGGTTCAATCTTTACTTCATTCTTAATTGCTCTGTTGTATGACATTCTTAACTATTCAGTAAGTCTACGAGGAAGTTTCAATGTTGGTCAAAGCATCTCATAAAAAATTATGGCTCACATAAGTATGTGATGAAACTTCATCATTTCTAAAGAGTTTCTCTTGATATTTGATTGATTATGGTACGGTAATTAATAATCCACTACTTTTACAATATGTCTTTTTACATATTTGCGCACACTTGGGTTTAATGGCTGCTGTAGCTACTTGAGCTCTGGAAGATATATACATGTAGCTCACATAAAGTTTTTGTTATAAATTAAAAAAGAATAACAATTCCAAAGTGACTTTCCTTTAGATTGACAAACTTAACCTGTCAGAAAAGGCACATAGCATAACCATTTGAATGGGGGATGTATTAAAGACCACTGGTAAGTCACTGATAAATAAGCCGTAAACTTTCCAAAATGGCGTTAAAATGAGAGGTACATTACACATTAACTGACTGATGCTCTAAACGTTAATGTTGGGCTAAGAGTTCCCACCCCTCTCGCGAAACCCATGTTTGAAAAGTAGAGAATGAAATAGATGTCATTAAAAAACTTTCATCATTTGAACCACAGGAGTTTGCTCTGGATGTGGATGGGGCAAGGACTCTGAGGATTCTGTGTTACGACTTCACCAAGGGTCTTGATGATGAGATGTACGACAAGGGTGCTGTCAGTCTTACCAAGCAGAATATTAGCAGTCCAGGAGGCATGGATTGCACCATACAGATGGACCAGGTTGGTATAAGGGGGTGAAGAGGGGTGCAGAGGGGGTATTCTACAGGTATTGATAAGGGATGTTAGGATATATTTGGTATGAGATATATGACGAGGGTACAGTTAGTCTTACCAAGCAGGAGATTAGTAGTCCAAGGGGGCAAGGAATACACTGACATATACTGTGCAGAGCACCAGGTGGGTATCAGGGGGCTGATCTTCTGGAATGAGGAAGGAAGATGAAAGTGATGTGAAGGTACAAGTAGTGTGGCCGGGGAGGGGGAGTGTGGTGGAAGGGGGAGGGGGAAGGGGGGGAGTAAAGATTCCATCTTACAGGATGAACAAGTTGGTATGAGAGGGGCCAAAAGGACATTTATCTTTTAAAGATCACCAGCATAAAGATTGCCTTATTACTCGTATTTACATGTCTTTAAACATGTAAGGGCAACATGATATAAAATCAGACTTAGTATAATCCCCCCACGGCCTGTTTATCTGTAAAGTTTAATAACAAAGGTGTTAGATGCTGCTTGTAAGGTGTTTTATGGGGCTAGCATAGTAGTACAAGGACAATGCATAATGACCTACCTGTTATGTGAGCTCCAATGTACCGAAACAATAAGGATTAACCCAACAGCTACCAGTTAGCTTGCAGGTATTTCTAGAGACAGCTAGGGTTCATTTAGTCCCTTCCTCTTGTCTCTTTGAACAAATGAATGAAAAGAAGTGACCCAAGCTTTTTATTGTCTTTGTACTTCTATGGTGAAGTGTTTTTTTTGGAGGGATTACTAGGGTCCATCCATGTTTATTCTTGTCTTTGTTAATAGGGCACTTAATTGCAATCTGTGGGAACCATATGTTATTCCAAGTTCCCACAAGGTGCCAGCCTTCATAAGACATTTTTAGTTTAGCTACAGTTCTGTAAGGTCACAGTATCGCGCACAATGTCATTTACTCTACCGGAAGAAGCAGTTGCTGATCGTTGATGAACTCTCTGTAAAAGGTCTTCTCTTCTGTTCACCCTTCGAAAAAAAGGAGGTTGTCGGTGTGAATAAACTTTTAACAGGAGGAAGAATTTCAGTTCCTTAATGAACTCTGATATAAGATCTTCTCTTTGCTTTCTCTTCTGGTTTTCATTGCGGATGAACTTCCAACAGGATACCACTCCTGAACCTACAGGATACACAGACTCATTTGGATCACTTTTAATACTTCTTTCTTATAAACATATATATACCTCAAGACATCCTTCCATAGAAATTGTGTGCTTGCTTTGGCTGACTCTGCTTTTGTTTGGGCTCATCAACATAGGATCATTTGAGAGATTTGTCTACTTCACCAACAGGAGGATTATCTGTTTTTTAAAGTATTTTGGACACTTTTGATAGTTCTTTCATGTAAACATTATATACCTCCGGTATAAACATTATATATTTCATTATCGCGACATCCTTCCGCAGAAAATGTATCCTTGCGTCGCTGACTCAATCTGTGTTTGGGCCCATCAGTGTAGGGCCATTTGAGAGATTTGTCAACTTCAACAGAAGGATTATTTGGCTTTTAGTCACTTTGATCACTTTTGATATTGTTTTCATATACTGGTAAACATATATATATATTACCTCTTTGGTAGAAGATATACCACAAGACATCCTAGATTGCAATCTATGAACTCACATGATGCTTTGCTGACTCAGTCCTTGCTAGCGTGTGACCATATGAGAGAGTTGTCAACTTGATCAACAGAAGGATTTTTCCCTCTTCGTTGTTTGGATCGTTTTGACACTTCTTTGGTATTAAGATATACCTCTTTGGCATAGATTCCAAATCTATCTCGATCTGAAGACCTCTGACCAAAGCTGATGTATCCTGTATTGTCAGTGTAGACTCCTTGTTTTGCCCTGTCAGCATATGACCATTCATGAGAAACGGGCTGTCAATTTGACCAACAGGAGGATTTTTGTGTGTTTTGATATACTAAAGTGTTCAGATTTCTTGAAAATGTGGAGATTCTGTCTGGTTGTCTATGCTTATGCAAGAAACAATCTGTTTGGTTGTATTGGAATACCGTCGGTAAAGCTAAAAACCCAAGATGACTCGGTGAGTATTAGGAATACATTTGGACTTGATATAAGTATGGAATGGTGTCATAGTTCAATGATTGAGGAGCCCTTCAAGTCTGAGGCGTCGATAATTCAGATCACAATTTACCTCTTCTGGAGGATAAGTTACATGTTCAGTCAAACCTACTTGAATTTGTTTTTTCGTTGAAACCTGTACTGAAGGAACCTGTACTTATAAGACCACCTGCCTATAAATAACACTTTCATGTTTTCCTTTAGCCATCTTTATATACAGGTTTTATTGTAGTAAGACTTCTATTGTTAAGTACCTGTTCATGTGTGAATTAATATGACATTTAATACATGTATGTTCTATACAGTGTACAATCAGTGCTGGATAATTTCAATAACAATTTGTAGAACATCATGTATTTTTGTATTTGTTTAAAGTCATCCTAATTGTATACTGTACTTTTTCATTCTCTGTAGCTCCAAGTTGATGTGACGGTGCGCTTCGAGACATCAGAGAGGACACTGAAGCGAGTCCAGTCCAGGAAGAAGATGGGCGTGTTTGGGGTGCATGTTGGTACCTTGGCACACCGACAGGGCAAGAACATCCCCAACATCATCACATTATGTGTGGAGGAGATCGATAGGAGAGGTAAGTCAACTTATCATGAATAATAAATCTTCTTTCTTGGGCGGGAGGGGTGGGGGGATGGGGGCAGCATTACAGGTCAGAATAGTTTGAAGAATGGGTGTGTTTGGGGTTGATAGTTATATCTTAGCTCACTGACAGTGACATGGCAATAAAATCTCCAATACCATTACCCACTGTAAGGAGGAGGTGACAAGAAGTAGGTCATCTCATAGCTATCTATTTTTATTCATATCTTATCCATGCATTGTGAAAACTTGTTTACTGTCATACTTTTGCGCTGGTTAATTTCAACCTGTTCTAAATACCTTGGTTGTATGTTTCCCTATTTGTGATGGTTAATTTCACCTGCTCTAAATTCTTCAGTTGTCAATTTCCATATTTGTTCTGGTTAATTTCGTCTTCATAAATTCTATGGTTGTAAATTCCCAGATTTGATTGATTGAAATGTACACAAGAAAAAATATGCACTTCTTTTGTTTGTGTATTTATTAGTCCTATTTTAGTAGAGTGGCTCCATCAGAAGTTAAATACTGTTTTCTGTGGAGGCCCTACAACATAAATACAAAATTTACAAACATATTGATGTAAACAATAAAAATCAAGACAAAATAATTGACAAGTGTAAATGACAAGTTTTCAATATCTGCACCAACTGTCCTTCTTTCTTTTGCCTGCTATCTTTATCTCTGCTTTCTATTTGTTTGTTTTATAGGTGTCCATGAGATGGGAATCTATAGAATATCAGGATCATCTGCAGACATCCAGAAACTGAAGAAAGCCTTTGAACAAAGTGAGTTTGGGTTCTTTAAACTTATCTCCCTTATGCTATACAATATACATGTACATGTTTAACTATTTATATTCATTTTATTATCCAATAATTAACCCATTGCTTTTGATGCTAATGTGAACATGATACATCCTTAATTTTTGATGACACAAAATATATTCCCTTTCTAGATACGGCAATGGCATTAGATTAATCTTTCTTGCAGCCAAAATATACATGAAATAAGCAAGCAGAATTTATATAAAGGTCTCTCTCTCTCTTTCTCTCACTCACTCTCTCTCTCTCTCTCTCTCTCTCTCTCTCTCTCTCTCTCTCTCTCTCTTATAGTTATAGACTTATTCTACCAACTAGACAATAAAAATGAGTATTCATTTACACATACACTGTAGGCCTATTGAAAGAAAATAATTCAACACTTTAGACAAAAAATTATCACTTCTCTTGCAAATGACAAAGAATGGTCATTCTTTGGGGTCTAGGTTTCTTTTCTTTTTCTTCACACCACAGTAGCCACTCCACACCATAGTCCCACTCTATATATTTCCATGCATAGCGTTCATATTGGCATCTCTAATAATCCAATTTAATTCATAGCTGCCATAGATCTATGTGACATTTCGCTCTGATAATATATTTACTTGCTGAACAATGCCTTGCTAAATTATTCTCATTTTATATCCAACTTTCCATTTTACGATAGCAGCTTTATGTATTTGTATTCCCACTTAATCATCTTTGTTTTGCCTTTGTAAATTAAGGGGTCTAAAAAGGCTTTCGTACATTCCATGCCTCTTTCAGCAGAGCAAGCAGACTGAGAATAACCAGATAAACAGTGTATTCATCTCATTTTCGCTTAAGACTTTGTCCTTTTTCTCTATAAGAAACAAAAAGAAATATTATATATGCCTGCATTTGCCAGACTTCTCTAATAGTTCATTTTGTGCATCTATTAATCTTTTTTTCATATATTAATCCTTTTATCATGGATAAATTACAGCATTCCATGACCTGTGTGAAATTTCTGAATCTGGTATGTTTATATCATTGACATGTCGTCTGTTTGGTATCAGAAGGACATTAACTCTTATACTAAAAATACAGAGTTAAAGCCCTTCTGTCTCCGTATAGACATTGTGTTGTATGTGCATGCTTGTTTAGTCGTATGCTTTTGTTTTATATCATCCTCCGCATGCAGGCCTGGCTACTTTTCCCAACGGTATGTCGCTACAATGCATGTCTTTTGTGATTAATACGTTTGCTGTATAGAATACAGTAATTAAGACTATAAAACACTCCATATATCATGCACAAGCTGTTCCTTGTATACAGTTTTTGAAATGTGTGCAGCTATACATATACAATTCACTCTTCTGATAAATCAACTGTTAAAAGCGAGAGGGTTGTTAACTCTTTATAAAGGTGTATATATTAGTTAGTGCCTTTCTGGCTTGTCTTCCAATAAAATGTCTGCTGAGAGCCAGAAAAGCATTAGCTTGAAGTTAACCCCCTTCTTTTTCTCAGCAGATGATAATGTATAAAGCTGGTATAATTTGTCAGGTATTGTGGAAGTTTTTTTTTTATTGTTGGTGTATTTCGCATGCTTTTTAATCATTGAACTTTTGTAATTTTGTGGACTTGGTGGATTTTGCATGCAACGTATTACTTTTAGATGCATGTAAGTCTTCATTTTTAACCCATAATGTGTGATTGAGCAATGTGTTAGTATTAATTTGACTCTAGATATTTAGTTTAAGACCCTTTTAAAGTAGCTTCCAACCTTGGTTAATAGGGTTATTAAAGTATAATCTCTTTCGTTTTCTGTAATAAATATCAGATTCTTTGGCACAATGAAAAGTAGAATCTCTGCTTTTCAAATTGATTATACTCCACATGGCAAGCTTACACACACTCAAAAGGCTTGAGCCTGCACCCATTTTTTCACCACACAGCTTTTTAAAGTAAGGGTTCCATTTTGAAAGGTTTGCTCATAATTAAGGGAGAAACATTGAAAAGAAACTGTCAATTGGGCTCTAAAAGATGAAGTAGATTATACATATTCTTTTCAGTTAATTTGGGTATTGAATCTGGTGTACTAAATTGATCTGGTCATGATGGGTGAATTACTTTAACAAAAAATTGTTATTCTATTTATTCTAGAATTACATATTTTTGGGGTAAGGATTTGTGCTTGTCATGTATTCTTGCACACTTCAAATGCATGTGTGCACTTTAACCACTGTACGTTTGTATAAGTTTATTTGAAAGTGTATGCTTTGTGATATGAGAACTCTAGCAAATGCATTTCCCAATGCACTTTGATGTTGAACATATGTCAAAACTCTTCTTGGACTTAAAGTAATTGTAGGCTTCAGGCTAGATCTGAAGAAAAAATGGGAGCAGTTTTGGGCTTCCACTAGTATATTCACATAAAAAAAGTTTAACTGGGATTAATATGGATAAAATGTTGAGACTGGTTTTCTTCTTAGAGTTTTTCCAAAGTAGTGATGCAGCCCAATTCATTACCGGTATGAGTAACACAAATGGAAAAGGTCTGAATCATCGGGGGGGGGGGGGGGGGGGGGGGGGATAATGATGAAAAGCTTTACCAATTATGTCCCTATTCACCCTATTGTATGGTTACAAAAATCATTTGAGAAAATGAAATAGAAAAAAAAGCCAAAGAAGAAAAGAAAATGACGGGGGTGTAAGATGATGTTTAAATGTGGTTATAGGTATTATGGTCCATTTTAAAGAATTTTCAATTGTTCTAACTGCATATATTTTGTTTTATTTTTTCATTGTTCAGATCGGCGTAACATTACAGCTATGTTGAAGCAGAGTGATATCCACGCAGTGGCCGGTCTTCTGAAATCCTACCTCAGGGAGCTCCCCGAGCCCCTCTTCACTCACGTTCTATATCCCCAGTTTGTAGATGGACTCCGTAAGTAGTAGTGGAGTGCCTAAAGGCATCGTTTAACAATGTTAACTCTGAGATGCATGGCCCTAGGTGTTATCAGTGTCTGTGATATGGTGTCATATTGAAGCCCTGAAATAATTGCGCTTCAAAATGATCATGAAGTGCCTCAAAGAAGTAAAAAATCTTTGAGTGACCTCGGTTTTACCATACTCATTTTTCCCAATAGACTGTAGGGTTATAAAAACCGTTAGGAAAACGAATTCTGAAATTGCTAATTCCAATCATAGATATCTTGATAATCAGACAGGCGATTGGCTTGTAAAAGTCATGGAGTTCCTGACTGACCTAAAAGTTTATACTAATTATGATTGCAGCATGAGCTAAATCCAGGATTTTGTTAGAATCTAAGGCAAAGTTACCCAATCCCTTAAAGGAATGGTCAATTAGGGATACCGTACATGTAGGTTATGATTGGGGGGTTGTGTTGGTATCAGAGGAGAGGGGGTAGTCTCTTTGGAGCATATATATAGTAGTACAGTGGCTCAGTGGATAGGTTTAGGAGTGTTTGGCTAGGGTGTGGCCTCCTGAAACCCTACTTTGGAGAGATCCCTTTAACTTTCTCCCTGCATGCTATATATTCCCAGTTTGTAGATGGACTGTGTAATGACTTAATAGGGATCGGATTTATCAAGAAAAAAAAAGACCTTATTTTTTAGGAAGCCTTTGTCACAGAGGTCCCCATTTCTCTCTTTGCTCATATTAACATACTCAAATCTGGGTTAAAATCTTGTGGGTAATGTCTTTTGTGTATATATCATTGTTATCAAAAATTGACTCAGCTACATGTACATTTAGAAAGGCACCGCAATAGGCCCTAATCGATGATAGGCTAATGCATCAAGTTCAAACTAAAGCTGCAGTTCCTTTGACGTCTATTCACTTGTATAACACTACATATGAAATAAACTGAATCTTTAAGAAAAGGTGTTTACTATTTTTATGATATACAATTACTGCCATTATCGAGGAGGCGCGATAGCTCAGTTGGTAGAGCAGTGGTCTCGTAATCCGGCGACCCGGGTTCGAAACCAAGGCGATGCGCTAGTGCCCTTTGGTAAGGCATTAATCCTCATTACCAGGTCCCTCGGAGAGGACCTAAAGCCGTCAGTCCTCTGGTTGCTTACTAACAAGCATTTATGCATTCTTAGCAGTCAGGTAAAATAACCACCACTTGTATTTCTAACTCTCCAAACTTAACTTTTCTTCTTCATATGACAGAATTGACTGATCCTGTTGCAAAGAAGAAGTGCTTCTTGTCCCTGCTGAAGAATGTAGTCGAACCCAATAGAACAATCATCTTCCTCATCTTCAACCATCTCAGGAGGTAAGTACAGAAAAGACAGGACTGGAGAGAGAGAGAGAGACACACACACACAGACTGACTAACAGACAGACAGACAGCCATATAGATAGATAGACATATCAACCAATTGACAGAGAGAGAGGGAGGGAGAGAGAGAGAGAGAGAGAGAGAGAGAGAGAGAGAGGGGGAGAGAGAGAGGGAGAGAGGGGTTGGGGGAAGGGAGAGAGAGAGAAAAAGAGAGAGGGAGAGAGGGGTTGGGGGAAGGGAGAGAGAGAGAGAGAAAAAGAGAGGGGGAGAGAGGGGTTGGGGGAAGGGAGAGAGAGAGAGAGAGAAAAAAGAAGAGAGAGGGAGAGAGGGGTTGGGGGAAGGGATAGAGAGAGAGAGAAAAAAAAAAGAGAGAGGAGAGAGAGGGATTAGGGGAAGGGAGAGAGAGAGGGGGTGAGAGAGAAAGAGAGAGAAAGGGGAGAATGAGAGAGAGAAAGAGAGGGGGATATCATACAGAAAGACGGACAGATAGACATGCTGACAATTAGACATATATCAGGATGTAAGAGTAATTGAAACAAAAGACGGTTTTGTGAGATAGAGACCTATCAATGTTTTTAAAGAGAGAGGTGCGGAGGGGGGGGGGGGGGGGGGTGGAGGAGTCAAACGGACAGAGAGAAGGAAAGAAAGGTCAAGAGCTAATATTTAGAACATCAAGGACAATATAACACTGATTCCTTTATTCCTATCTGGAATAGATTGACTAGATACCATTTGGGAATTTAAAACCAAACCATAACATCGGCTACAGCCAACATCACATTCTTTTTTGATCTTTCAACTTTCAGAATCGCCAAAGAAGAAGAGAAGAACAAGATGAACCTCCACAACCTGTCAACGGTATTTGGTCCCACGCTGCTCGGTCCTGCCGCGACCATCAGCGCGACGGGTAAGCCTGACATCCTGGCCGAGATCATGGGCATGTCTAGCGTCATCTCGCAGGTCGGCATCCTCCATTACTGCTTGGAGCACTTCAGCGAATCGGTGGAAATCCTGGAGACTGACCTATGAGAACTGACCGTTTGGTCCTTACCAATTTGAAAGTTTGGCATCCTACAATATTGCTTGGAGAGTTTCAGTGACTTGGCTGATATCATGGAGATGGACCTCCGAGAATGTGGCGGCAAACTGACCGATCAGCATGTGTCCATTTGACTTTAATATTGAGGCCAGCAGAGTAAATTGAGAGATACCAACTTTCATCCCTTAAGACATGGTATTGGTTAAAGGAGAATATAGACTGCCTTAGGTGGATCATTCACAGTATGATATGCATAGCAAGGAAAAGTAGTTAGAAAGGAAATATGTGGAAGGACAAAAAAATAGTATTGGTATAAGGGGTAGTTTATGTTTGTGTGTAGAGAAAAGTTATATTTTTATACATTTAAATCATCTACCTTTGTATCAGGTTTTGTCAGCAGTGTAGATAATCCTGTTTACTCTTGTGTATTTTCTCAAAGATTGCAGAATTCTAAGCATGTTTCATATGTTATGTTATGAATCATAATGTATAACACATCATATTCATGTTGTATGATGAGACTTACATATATCACATCAAACGTTTTAAATGCATCGCAGAAGAAATCGAGGAAAAAATAATGGTATTGGGTGTGTAAAAATGGTTTAGATGGGTTTATTACTAGGTGTATTTTTAGTTTACAAAATATAGATCACATATCTTTTTAGTTATTTACATTGGAAGCATATTAGCATTTCAAGACTGACAGAACATACTGCTTAGCTGGAGCCAGATTCGGTAGTACCGTTTTGCAAGTATTTTAGGCTAATCATCCATCTTGTGGGGAGTATATAACTGGGTTTTTCTTTGAATAGCATATTTCTTTTTTATATTTCAATGGACACATGATCCATTTATTAATTAATGTTTTTCCTCATTTGTCATCGCTTGATTTAGAAAGCCAGCAGGTATGGCATTTCATAGATTAGAAAGTTTGATATTATACAACTCATTATTATTATTATTATTGTTTTGTTGTACGCAAATACCACAGTATGTGGAATGTATTAGAATTTTGTATTTTCATTGTACTCTAGAATTGGGTCAATTTTTAAATTATGGTGATATGTTTTGTAAAATGTCTGTAACTTAAGAAGATTGATATGACTTTTAGAAATCTAGTTAAATGTAAATAGAATAGAGTATTTGAAGATCTTTTTTGTGTGTAAATATATATACATGTATAAATAAATGTTGAGACAAATTTTGATACTATACATATACATGGGACTTGCATGTATACGGACTGTTCTCCTAGAGCAGAAAAGAGAGAAAAAGCAGTGAGTGTTTTGGTCATGTTTTATCTTTGCGTTGAAATAAATTGAATTGTTTAGTTTTGTTTGTCTTTGTTTGTGGTAAGCTAGCTTCTTGCTCATATACAATCTTTTGCTGTGTTGCTTTGGGAAGAAAATTGGAAAGTGTGAATGTTTCATGAAAGATATTAGATAATATGCTGTCGTCAAATGTTTAATCTTTTGTACAAAACGGATACAAATCTCTTCCAAAATCAGAGTATTATTTGGTATGTAACTCACAAGGTTTGAATGTGTATTGCAGGAATATAAAGAATGAATATATGTCGTATTTAATCTGTAAAAAGCCACGGTGGGATGTTTCTTCTCACCCTTCAGTATTTATTCTCAGTTGTAGATTTATTTGAATATTACCTTTAAATATAAGAAAGATTCAATTGCCTTTTTCCAATCCGAATGATGAACATATCATCATGGATTGAACAATTATTTAAATATATGTTTACTTGCATTTTTTCTTTCTATTTACAATGTAGCATATACACAGGTCAAAGTATGAAACTAAATACTACATGTATTGTCAAAACAAGAGCAAAACACAAGGAAAGACAACATTGACGGATATTTTCATCCTCTGTTCATATGCCTTTTTACCATTAGACTGTCATTTGTATTAAATAATAACAAGCCATAATATAAGCATATTTTGCCTTTAAAATGAGAATACATCATGCATAATGTATAAATACTTTTTTTTCAAACATTTGTGACGTAGATGTACAAGCAGGTATATTTTGTACCCCAGACAATTCTTGCATACTGGTACATACATGTACATCATTGCAAGTCACGATTTCTAGTCATAATAGATGCATGTGGATAAAGTTATGATTAAAGTTGTAACAAATTTGTTTTTGTTGGTATTAAACATTCTGTTTAAATTTAGATTGAGTATACGATTACAGAAAATGTATATTATGATATACATGTACATACTATTCCAGTTAAAATACAAGAAAAATTTCATTCATGCATATGAATAATAATTTTTTTTTTTTTTTTTTTTTAACGCTCTTGTCACTTTTCATGCATACATGAACTTTATGATTTACATGGCGTTTTGATTGAATTAAAATGTGGGATTTCATGTGCTTTTCATCCGTGACCTTGATGTGAAATGTATGCCATAATCATTTGCATAAGTAGGGTATTGAGGTGTCATTATTTATGTATATTGTGTATTTTATCATATATTAAAGGAGTGCACATTTTTGGAAGACATTTCTGCTAATAATGACAAAAGTGCCTATTAGTTTGAACAGTGCATAATATCAAACAAATTCAACTTAACAATACTTCCTTTTTTTAATCCTTTTTATAACCATTTACTCCCTAATTGTGCGATTTTTTTGTAAATGTAATCCTTGTCAAAATTAGGTGCTTTATTTGCTACTGGAACATTTCATGCCATTTTTTAATGTAAATGACTGCAACAGATCATTTTGCATTTTGTAATTGTTTTGTGATGATTTGAATATGTTATGTTAGAATAGCATTAGCATCTATACATGTACTTATCAAGGACCATGCAGACCTGTTCATTTATGCAAGCCTTGTCAGTGGAATTAGGATATATGTATTGCATTTTGTACTTGGAAAGCAAGCATACCATAGTTTATCAAGCAGTCCAAACATTCTTATCCTTTACAAAAGAATACTGGAAAACCAATACCATGGTTTAACATTAAATTGAAGGTTGAATGCTGCTATTGAAATACATGTGCAGGATGAAATAAATCTCTTGGCGAGTGATTTCTTAGTAAAATTTAGATTGGTCAGTGCTATATTCTCTGATGGAAGAATGTACATGATGTTAGTGAAGGAAGCACTTGGATTTGTAATAAGGTTTGAGGATGTTTATACACACTTCAAGATTAGAGCATATAGCATTTGATAGAATTTCACTGCAGAATTTAACTTATTAGTGTGTTTTTTTTAATTTTTAATGTGAAGTCATATTGTTATCTTTTATGTTTGATGTCATGGGTGCCCTGTTTGCGTACATTATATACTCAGAAAGGCAGAAAGGAGAATGTTTATATGGACAATAAAGTCACTACACATTTGTATGGAGCTGCATAAGACACTGGTTCGATGATGTTTATTTACGTGTATGCGTTGTCCATGTGAAATAGCCGGGCAGGATAGAAGAGAAAGAGAGAGACAAAAAATGAAAGAGAGAGAGAAAAAAAAATAAAGAGGAGGAGGAGGAAGAAGAAAGAGAAAGGAAGACAAAAGTGACTCTGTCAAAAAAGAAGAAAAGAGAGATGGACAGACATGCAGAGAGAGGGGAAGGGGTGACAGAGATGGGGTAGGAAGAGATGAAAGTAAGAGGAGAGGTTTGGGGCTGGGAGGATCTAGAGCTTGTCATTTTCACTTCTCTTTCTTTGCTTCTCTTCGGTGCGTGTGTGTGTGTGTCTCTCTCTTTCTCCGTCGCTTCTCTCTGTCTCTTCCTCTCTCTCTCTCTCTCTCTTCCTCTCTCTCTCTCTCTCTCTCTCTCTCTCTCCCTGTCTATCTCCTTTGCTCTCTCTCTCTCTGTTTATTACCCCTCTCTCTGGTTGATTTTCTGAAGAAAAAAACAACACCTTCAGCTCACATTATCAACAATCAAGAATCGAAAAGGAAAGAAAGTCGTCATAAACCTGATATTGTAAAGACATGTCGCAGTCTTTAGAGAGTTCTTAATTTATTGAACCTTTACACGTAGCTGTACATATCAGTTCAACTGAGTTGCAGTGCATACATAAACATAATAATAGAGGGATAGTGGGAGAGAATAAAAGGCAAGTATTTTCATATTCATAAGGATAAAATAATTTGCCAAGGTTATAAAAGGAATCGGTACATGCTGCTACTATTCATTTATTTCTAAGTTTCCTATGTGCATTACCTTACAGCCATCTAAAACAGTGCAATGTTCTTCATAAAAATGTTCTTTTTATCATGATATACACATGGCAATCATTAAGAAAGCACAACAATAGTAGAATCTTGAGAATAAAATCATCAAACTTTTGATCTGAAATAACCATTAGACTTTGTGTCTACGTTACACTGAGACTGCATTTTGCAATCCATTTTATACCGACAACATTCAAATGCATTGTGATTTTCTAGAATGGAACTTTAAAAATCCTTAAATATTTTTAATTCATTGAAATTGTATTGGCATGAGATGCTCTATTAATCTTTACATGTTCAAATGATTGATTGTCAACTTTAGGATCTTTCTAGCTTGAATTTCTGTTGATTTAACAAACTATTTGTTTTTTCTTGCATGAAACATTTGTATTGAAATCTTAAAGTGGAATGTGGTTCAAAGTACTTCACCATAATTCAAATTGAACAAGTAAATTCTAAATTCATATATAATTATTTGCTGGATATGCAAGCCAGAGAGAAAAAAAAGAGAGAGAGAGGAGGGAAGAAGAAATACTCACATTTGTGAAATTAAAACAAAAAATGTAAAAGGATATATCAAAGACATGGCTTATAAAAAAGATAATATAATACATGATTTTCATATCTTATAATAATTATTGAATTAATGTTATATGGAGTTTTAATGCCCCTTTATTTGGCATGACAAAATTGTCCTTTACATTGTCCTATTCAGTTCAAGCATGCCAATAATTCATTACGATCAACAGTTTTAATTTGTCCTTTTTTTTTCTTCATAATTGCAAAATAAGGCACAGTTAATATTCATGCTTGATAAATGATCTATATTTTTCTTTCATTTCCATATAATAAAAGCTTGAGCATAGCCTTCATGATAAACCAAAATATACAATCTTTGTTAATAGATGCTTCTCTCTGAATATATAAATGGAAAGAGAAAAGGTGAGAGAAAGAGAGAGAGAGAGAGAGAGAGAGAGGGAGAGGAAACAAAAGCCAGGCAGTGTTTTGCTACATTACATATGGTCTGTTGAGAGCCAGAAGGGCATTAATTAACTCTATCTCACAGGGTATGTGTTCCAAATACCTTTCTAGTCCTCAGCATATGTGTTTTCTACATTTTACACATTCTTTTCCATGATAATAGACAGCACTGCTTTAATACTACTCGCATTTTCTTTTTCATCTGCAAACCATACCTGCCAACCTTTGAAAATAAAAATTAGGAATTTCTAGCAGGGTTCGCACGGCCTTACCATTGCCATGTATGCAGTGGCAGTGTAACTGGCAATACGCGGTGAATCTTCACAAAAAAGCGAATACAAATTCGCTGCTCAATCGTGCAGCCATTCGAAGCACGCAATACCCAGACTTTCAAATTGCGGCACATCATAAAACAAGCTAAATTTGGCTTTTTAAAAATTGGTCTTTCAGAATTTTGAAAAATCAGAATATTCCAAATTTTAAGGTCCTAAAAATCCAGAAAATCAGAATATTCTGGATAATTCGGAAGGGTTGGCAGGTATGCCAAAATGATGAAGGACTCTCTTTTTTTATTTAATATAAATTGGTTTCATGTATAAATACATTCGTTCAAATGATTACATGAGAGATAATATTAGGAAAGGAACAAAAACTGTACAGATAAAAATAATAAACATAACAAGATGCTAGCATGGAAATAATTCATTCCAATCTATCTGTATGCACTTTGAAAGAGTCATTGTGAAATATTATGATTTAAAAAATATTAAAAAATGAAGATACACATTGCATTAAGAAAAATTACAAGTAATTAAGTAATTATAATGCTGTTCCAATTTCAACATGTTGTTTTGAGATTGGTATCTAACCTACTCATGCAGTATTTCTCAACAGATCAGCCTTTTGCAAAATGCAACAATTCAATTTGTACATTACCACAACTAATATGTAATTCTCTTTCTACTTTTACGTAGAGGGAGACCAAATGATATCCAAATTGACAATATTTGATTTTTGGCCATGACTACAATTATGGGCTGTATCGTGATTTTGGAAACCATTTGTTTGTCAGCACGCGCAGTGTGTAGAGTCCATGGCGTGGGAAGAAGGAAACCAATGCATGTGACGCAATGAAGCGCTACAGTGCGGAGCAAATGGTGGTTTCCTATTTCACGATAATATCCATCTATGCCTTAAAATAAATATTTAATGTTAACATTTCATTGGCCCTACCCTACTCTACTCTTTAAATTAAACACTGACGCCCGATAAAAGCTTTTATACGTCTCTGTAAATTAAGACAGAGGGAAACCTTCAACTGAAAACAGATGTGAGTTCTTTCATGATACATACACGCATTGGCAGTGAGTCTGTCGCTTTACAAGTGCATAGGGTCTATGCTATTTCAGTGATACAATAATATACATGTAAGCAACATTTACGTTTATCTACAGTACGCTATCATTTTATTCACCTAATTATGCAATGCAATGTACATGTACTATCAAGAACCAAGTAATTGTGTTTCAATACATTTGATTTCGTTTCTAAAGCAGTGTAGTTGACAAATAATGTAGACATGAGGAAATATCATAAAAAGATTTAATTTGAGCTTCTATGTAATGTGTTTTAAAGGATTATTCCCATTCTTCAATTGTTGTGATTGTCTTATTGTAACTATCGTACTTTCTATACCTTAGATAACTTTGTAATTATAAGCATCGAATCCAAATTATCATCCTTTTACAGTACACATGAGGCAATATTTCTATATCTTTTCAATTTCATTATTGAAAACTTTTTTTTTCAGCAGTGATTTATCATAATGATTACACTTCTGGTACGTTTGATTTGTTCAGCATACATATAGCGTCTTCTGAGAGAAAGACATATTTTAACGCTGTGTTTAGAGAGAGAGGAGTATAGAGTGGTGAAGTGTGACGTCATCATAAAATCTATTTTTAGAATTTCTCAATTTTTCATCATATTCCGAAAAAACACCAAAATAATGTCCAAATGTCGAAAACCAATTGAATATGTTAAGTATTGGCTGAGTTATGAACATCTGAATGAATATATGTCCTATGGGAACTCAGTGTTATATGCTCTGGCTCCTAACCATTAGGAGCCAGAGCATATAACACTGAGTTCCTATGGGGAGTATATTTATTCAGATGGTCATATCTCAGCCAATATTTAACATATTCAATTGGTTTTCGACATTTGGACATTATTTTTGATGTTCTTTCGGAAAATGAAGAAAAAATTGAGAAATTCTAAAAGTATATTTTTATGACGTCACAGCTTCGGTTCTCTATATGCCCTGCTGGCTCTCAGCAGATCTGGGACCTGTTTCACAAAACCTCCTATCAATAACAAATGCCAGATTTCTATGACAAATCTGCTCTCAGCCAAGCAAATGCCACTATTTCAGTAGCATATAACAGTTTAACGATGTAACGTGTTATTGATAACAAGTTTTGTGAAACAGGGTCCTGATACATTCACTCACTTGAATAATGACAACTATCGTTTTGAACCATAAATACATGTAGTACTATTCATGAGTACAATGCAAATCTCTTACAGCTTACAAGTTGCTTGATAGACAGAAACGTCTTTCTTTGAGCAAATTCATGAAAATATCAAACAACATTCCATGATTTGTATAAATCAAAGTTGATATTCAGGGAGTTAAAGGTTAACTTTGGCAGACAGATTTTTTCACGCTGTGTTTAGAGAGAGAAGTATGATATGCCCTTCTTTCTATCAGCACAATACATATCTTCTATTCGCACGTTTGGGAAATGACATCAATCAATTTGAACTATAAATAGTACTATTCATGAGTACAATGTAAAGCTCTTACATTAGAAGTTTAGTCCTGAAAATACTGAATTGGTCCACGTTTGAAGCAAAATGTCAACAACATTCCATGATTAATAAGTATCAATGCTGCTAAATGTATATGGGGGTTTACAGGTCTGCAATTGGCAAACATCATGCCAATAGTTCAGCACCATTTAAATTTAAAAAAAAATAATAATGCTTACAAATGTTCAACATTAAAGTAGGGGTATCAAATATTGAAAGAAGTATCAGTGGGGCCATAAATGCAACCCCTCATGAAATGAAATGAAATGAAAGTGAAAAATTACATGTGATGCACGCAGAAAGAAAATTTACTACCCATGTGTCTCATGTGATGAGACTCTCATCACATAGATCTGGATGTTGATCCAGGGCAGTACATACAAAATAATGTCTGAAAGATCATAGTAAAAATGTGTTAAAAATCTGAACACTGATGAGCTTGGCAATGTGAAATGCTCATTATGTCTCTTATGCAGATTACATAATATTATGCAACTTCAAAAGACCCTTTGGCTATACAATTTGTCTTGAGTTAGGGTAATGATGGACAATAATTTGTCACAGAACCAAACTTACACTGAACGTACATAATTACAAATAAATGATACCCAACAAACGATTTTGTGCCAAATGTGAGCTGTTCTTTTATGTGAATGTGATTTCCATTAACTGTTGGTTAAATTCTGATGGTTTTAAACAACCTACCAGGCCATTCGGAATTGATTTAAGTCAGTTTTTATCAAAATGGAAAAACCAATACCAGAACTCAAGGTTATCCTTAACTTGTAGACATAGTGCTGGTGTAAGGCAATAGTACAATAATGTGATTTCAAAGGCAGTACTGAAACCCTGGTGTCCATGAACAAAAAATGAAAAACAGAGTTTAGAAAGAAGATAGTTGAAAAGACATTTCATTCCTAAATTTGTTTGATAGTTGTTTCCATTAAACAATCTACATGTAATTTCATTTTCCTACAAAATTCTCACTTTGCAGAAAAAAAGAGCATGAATTGTATACACATACATTTTCAATAAATAATCTATATTAATATGACTATTTCACTATTCCATATTGATATAATGCAAGCAAGCTGCTAACAATGTTCTATTCATAGCGTCCTCCTTTGCGGCTATTCTATGCCAATTCTATGTCAATTTGACATCGTGCCTACTCATAATTTTTTCATGAGTCCTCTCTCGACAATCAATGATTGTAGAAGGTTTGAGGGCGAACATTCTCCAGGCGTCGTCTGCGCATCCTCATGTTGATGGCGGCGCTTTCCGTCCTTGCCGCGAGCGTCAGGAGATCGGCCGAGAAGAGGAAATAGCCCAGAATGGCTCCCCCTACGATGGCGACTAGAAACCAGACGTTGTACGTCATGACAATCAGCATGAGAAGATAGGCAAAGCCGAACCGGAGCGTGTGGTTTATTGTTTGTACACAGTGATATAGAAACCTGGAAAGAAAATGTGGGACAAAAAAGAAAGAGTAAAAGACATATATGGTATATGTGGATGATACAGCATTCATGTATTGGTAAAGGGTTATCCCATGCAATGTGTCCGATACGACATATGACATTTGTTGATTAATTTCACCTGAAAATGAAAATCATTTGATAGGACCATGTACTAATGGTTATTCCTAATATCACTAACATTATCAAATGGTCATATCAAGAGGTTTTTCATTCTTGGATGAATGGAAAAAAGATGTACATGTATGTCATATGGGACACATTGCACAGAATTGCCCTATAACTGGTCATTCTAAAAAGGAATCACACATATATTCCATTTCCTACATATAATAGTCACAATGTAATTGAGATTTGCTATTCCAGGGGAACCTTTTCATTTAGAAAGTCACAAATTGAAAGATAAGGATTTGGAAACAGATCTCTCAAAAATTAGAAGAAAAAAAATATATAAAGAAGGATGATAAAAAGGCTCTTAATTATTAAAGTGAAAGACTAAAAAAATAGAATTCAAAAGCACAACAATTTGAAAGAATGACCAGAGTTGAAGTCAAAGGAACTGTGCATAGAGTGAACCAGGGAAATCTGCTACAATATTCTGTTTTAACTTCAGATTGAAATAAATATAAATAGGATATCAAAAAGGTAAATTTTGAAATTAGACTTGAATTTTGAATAAAGACTTGCACAAGTCTCAGACAAGGGTTTACAGAGTGAAACCAATGGTATCACTAATATGGTACCACTTATTTTAAAACCATGAACCACAAATGAAAGTGCCATAGCTCTATTTTTGTAATTGTTCATCTTGACCAAACCATTGTTCCTTGACACAATATATGTCATTTTGAAATTCACAAAGGAGAGCTTTGCTTTGTTAAAAAAACTACACCTGTATTTGATTCAATCATCTGTTGAGAACGAGAAAGGCATTAACTCTGTTAAAATATATGAGTTACTACCCATCAGGATCTCGACAGACGATATCACAATTTTGGGTGTTTTAACCGCTTACAACGCTGATAACTTTTAAGCATTTTTACCTATAGCATTTTAGTCCTCCTCTCGAATGATTCCCAATATATCCTTTCTTGTTTCTTTGAAGAGAGTTCCATCTATTTGGATCCATATCAATAGAAAGATTTCTTTCATGTCTCGAGTCCCGGGACTGCGTCCTTCCACGGTCGCTTGGTAACGTTCTTACATCTGCACTCAAATCCGAAAGTACTGTTGTATTCTGGGTAGCATTAGCATCGAGGAAAACATCCTCTTCCCCATCCTCTAGGGCTAAGTGGCTCGGACTGGTGCTGGTCTCTAACAAACTTGCGTTGCGTTGTTGCTGACGTTGGACCTGCGCGGCCACACTGCTGTCGAGGTTGCGTTGTCTTTCGTGGTGCGCGTCCAAGAGCTCCATGTAGTCCGCCGATTGATGGAACACGTGACCGTTGTGGTAAAGATAAGCGGGTCGTTTGGATTGGCCGTCGGGCGTCCTGTCATGTTTTCTATCCTTGCGTTGGCGCAGCTCGCGCATGACCAGCTGGGCTTCAAGTTTGGCGTAATAGCCTGCTTTCTGATGGAGGATTCGACTCAAACGTCCCATTCCTTGCCATACGAAGGAGAGGATTGTTGCCCCGACAATGACGATAATGAAATCTGCACAATGAAAGAGATAAAGGCCATGAGATTTAAAATATATTTTAGCATTTTCTGTCCTAGCAAGTTATGCATTGAACACAAGTACTATAATTTCAACTCAAAACAAAAACTACAAGTAGTTGTTTACAGGCTCTCTCTAAAAAAAAAATCAAAACTTTAAAGTTTAATCATGGCCCTGGCTATAAGAAACACAGAAGTGTAGCCCCAATAACAATGATAACAAATCTGCACCATGAAATAGATGAATTCATTTCAGACTTTTCTTCTTTTAACTTCAGGTGTGAAAAAGAAATCTTTCAGTGTTAAGTAAAGTCAACTGCATGGAGACAAAAATATTCAAACACAAGCTAAGCTCAGGGAAGGGTCAGAAATTTGAAAGTAAATCAGGGTTGGTTTTCAACATAAAACTTTTAATTATGAAGTATTTAAAGAACTTAAATTAGGATTCATAAAATGTGATTTATAAAATGATATTCTTTTGAGCAAAATTAAGGCATTTAGCCTCCAAAAGTCATTCCATAATGATTAGATTTATATTTATAGTTGTATTCACTATACTACATTTTTTGCTTTTCATTTCGTTCATGTACATGGTGTACATGCATTCACCTAGTCCAGATTCAGTCCGTTCTTTGTTTTTATTCTTCTATCCGTCCACAAGAACGAGAGGAATGGCTAAGTCTACTTTCAACGTTGAAGGTGTGTTATTTTATCAGCTGATTGGGTGCCTGACACGGAAACGGTACAGAGGCTGGACTAGCATTCATCCTAATAAACCATCACATGATGAGCTCCCAAACCTGATTCAGTATTCTATTGTGTTTAATACCTCATCCAGTAACCATTAACCTCTAAGAATAACATTTTTATGAGCCTTTTATATACAATGTCGTTTTAATGTATACAATAAACAATCTAATGGTAACTTGACCATGTGTAAGAAAACAAATACCGGTAATCTCTGTGTACCCACTCATCACATTTCCAGTATGTCAATTTAGACAAATTACACAAAAAAGCAGGAGAGCCTCGTACAAATAAAAGAGGCAGTAAAAACATACACAGTAATGTATGGGTCTGTATTCTTGTACTTCAGTTTAACCCGACACTAGGTCTAAAATCATGTTTAACTTTAATCAAAGTAAAACTTAGACCAAAGACTAACTTCCTTTCTTAGACCCAATTTTGAGCATTACTAGCCTAAATCCAGCACTATGTTTATATTTTTATTAGAATAAGGACCAAGGGGTAAGAGAAAAATGGGATGAATATTACTGGCTGATGAATGAAGGCTATAGCATGTTGAAAAAACAGGAAAGAGGAAGATTTACTCTGTTAGGTCACGGCCAATTTAGTTTCATACCCCATTAACTTTTCTGTTTAATGTGTCCAGACATAACACTTCCTAAAAAGTTTCTCTCTGAATCATTTTCAAGTTCCAACAATATCTAATCCTAATGTGCTTTGAGACTAGTCAAAATACACCTACATGTATACATTGTTAAACGCTTGTTATTGTTGAAAAAAATGCACAGAATGGATTACTTTAAAACCAAAATCTTTGAAGTGCATGATGAATAAGATTCTGTGAGTCATCATGTACATCACATAATTCTCTGAGTGGTTTAAAGGGATTGGGTAACTTTGTCTCAGACTCTGAAACAAAATCCTGGATTTAGATCATGCTTCAATGATAATTATAAACCTTTAGGACAGCCTGTCTGATTAACAAGATATTTATGATTGGAAATCGAAATCAAATTTTGCGTTTTCCTAACAGTTTTCATCACACTACAGACTATAGGGGGAAATGGTAAAACCGGTCACTCAAAGATTTTTACTTTTTTGAGGCACTTCTTGATTGTTTTAAAGTGCAATTTTTTAGGGCTTCAATATTACACCATTTCACAGATACTGATGACACGTAGGGCCGTGCATCTCAGATTTATTAACATTGTTAAATAATGCCTTTAATAAGATTGACAAAATTTCACGCCACAGAATATTCAATTCACAACCAACATCACACTGAATGTATGCAATTTGCTGAAGTTTCTCGTCATGAAGATCGCTCTTATTTGTGAAGCTGTAGAGTATTACATTATAGATGGGAAATGGACTGCAGGGGTAACAATACTACAGTCAAACCTGCTTTAGCAACCACCTGTATAGAAAGACCACATGTCTACAGAGACCACTTTTTTGTTTCCCTTGAAAATGGTTTCTCATTGAAATATGAACTGTAGGAACCTGTACATAAAGACCACCTGCCTATAAAGACCACTTTTCTTGTCTCCCTTGGGTGGTCTTTATAGACAGGTGTCACTGTACAACTTGTACCTGTCAACTTTCCACACAGAAAATAGGAATCCCTCAAGACAATGTTAGAAACACAATATATTTTGTATGCTTTTACACCAAAGTTTTCAGACAGAGAGAGTAATTTAGGGTTTATAACATTAGTCTGAAGGCGAGAGATTAGGAATTATTCCTCCAAATAGCATGAATTTTACTGCTTGCAAATATCAATGGTGGAAGCTAGAGTATGCATTAAAGCAATAGGCCATTTTTATAATGCAATCAAATTAAATGTGCAAATCTTTGTTAAGTGCCTCCATACAATTATTTCATTTGCCTGTTACAAATAATTGCATCTCAACAGTCAGAATGCCAATCGCATACAGTACTGGCTGCTAGGTAGGGCAACATTATGGCTAACCCTACCTACCTAACACCATTATATATGCAGATTGCATTCTCACTATTGAAATGCAATTATTTGTATGAAATAATTTGTATTGAGGCACTTCACAAGAAAGAAGTACCGGTACTGTATGCATCTAAATAAATTTGTTGACATTACGAAAACAGTCTATTGATCCAGGTCTGTGCATGAAAGAAGAGAGGAAATAGTAGAAAATGTATTAAACACATGAGAGGAAAGACATTGTGATGAAGGCCAGGTCAACATCGCATTTAAACCCTTGTGTACTTCACTTGATCAAAAATCCTAATGTACATGTACTTCAATGAGCCTTTTTTGTAATATAACCAAATTTAATACATAAATCTGTGTGAAGCGCTTCTATACAAATTATTTCAATCACCTGATAAGAATAATGGTATTTCAATAGTCAGAATGCAAACTGCATATATAAAGTGTTGCTTGATTGGGCAAGCCAAAATTTGTGTCGTACCTGGCAACAACTAATGTATGCAGTTCGGATTCTGTCTATTTAAATACTATTATTCTCATCAGGTGAGTGAAACAGTTTGTATCTAGGCACTTCACAAAGACGTGTGCATTAAATTTGGTTAATTACAAAAATAGCCTATTGATTAATCCATCAACTCTATTAGTTCATTCTTCAGAAAATGTGGTCATTTTTTAATAGAGAAAGGGAGTAGAAAGCTTGGAAGCTACTTTTGTGACACAATCTCTCGTACATGGAATCACTTAATACTCTCTTAAAGTGTAGAAGGAAATTTATCATTATGATCTGGGGGGACGTTTCATCAAACAATTAGTAGGTGGGTGGCTTTCATTAATATTATATTTGAGGAGGTGCGATAGCTCAGTCGGTAGAGCAGTGGTCTCGTGATCCGGTGACCCGGGTTCGAAACCAAGTCGATGCGCTAGTGCCCTTTGGTAAGGCGTTAATCCTCATTACCAGGTCCCTCAGAGAGGACCTAAAGCCATCGGCCGTCTGGTTGCTTACTTCCAAGCATTTATGCTTTTTCAGCAGTCGGGTAAAATAACCACCACCACATTCAATATTTTTATGATATTAGTATTAATTTTGTTTGGAAGCCTCGGGGAGGGCTGACACTATATACAGGTATTGTAAACACTTTTCAAGATTAAAACTAGGATTACTAGATGTACCTGGGCCCTGTTTCATTAAACTTGTTATAATTATATTGTTATAAAACAAATGCTAAATTTCTATGGCTAATTTGCTCTCAGCCAATCAAATGCCACAAGTTCAGTACAAAGTAGCTTTAATATAACAGTTATTGTAACTTGTAATATTGATAACAAGTTTTATGAAACAGGGTCCTGGACTGCCCCCCCCCCCCCCCCCCCCCCCCCCCCCCCCCCCCCCCCCGCGGCCCGCCTTTCCTATGACCTTAATAACTACCCTCTAAACTGATTATTAATATGTACTAGACTAGAGGGGGTAGTTATAACTTACACAGGGGCAAATAATATTGTTAGTGAGGAGGGAGGTACATAGTTTTTAAGACACAAGATGGATTTAATATCAAAAGATTGAGGTGACTTTGTTATCATTATTTTATTAATAGTGTAGTTGTCCAGGAGTGAGGATATCACAGCCTACTTACCACTATCAGAATATTCAATTATTCATGAAGCTCTAAATTTGTTTCAGATATCGTAACATTTTACTTTCTGTCAAATTTATGTATTTGGGTTAGATTTTTGAGATCTATTCAGAAAATCACCTGTATCGAGAGTATGTAGGCCATCCCCCCCCCCCCCTAAATTTAGTCATTAAAAAAAATTGCTACAATCTTCCAACTTGACAAGTTCAATGAGAAGGCACTCCTTATGGAAATCACAACCCACCTCCACTTCATTAAACTTCACTCAGACTCAAATCAAAGACGCTGAATTACAAGAGAAATTTCATGAAGCGGTTAATAATCCCCCGGGGCTGTATTTGTTCAAAAAGCTCTCAGAAATGATTACAAATGTTTGTATACTTGGGACTAACCCCCCTCCGGCACCCAAACAAACTCCTGCCAAATCTATTCAGGTCTGCTTTTCGAAGGGCACTTGGACTAGCTCCCTCGCTTGGACTGCAGCAGTGATGATGGTATTGTCGAGGGCTGAGGTGTTTGAGCGCCCTACATTGCACAGGTTATTTGTCATTTAAAGGGAAGGGAAGAATCACTAAAACATTTTTTTTTCTGGCTGTTATAGATGTACTATTATACCTGCCAACCTTTTACAAAAAGAATTCAAAATCTCTCCAGACAGAATTGGAGTACGATCTATTTCTAGGCTATACTTTCTACATAAAAGTTTTCATAAAAAGTGAAGAATCTATATCTTAATGACATTAGTTTGAAGAAGGAAAAGAAAAAAAAAAATCAAAAACGGATTATTCCTAAAAAATAAAACTGACTGGCAGCTACATGTATGTATGTGGTATGATTGAAAATAAAATATTCTACCAGGCATTTAAAGGGCCAAAAATCTGCAAAAAATAATTTGCTATGATTGTTTGAGATACTGTGCTGGTACATGTATACAAAATATCAGCTTCAAATATATTTCTGTAAAGAAATATTGTTTAAATGAAGATAGAAATACCCCTTTTCTCTCTTTTGATAGAGAGGTTGATATGCCTTTCTTCCTCTCCCATATTCACCTCATCCCCTTATGCTCTCAAAATTTGAACGATGAGATTAGCTTTTTTAGAGATTTGAATGATGAGATTAGCTTTTTTAGAGGGGGCAAGAGATTTTTATATCCTTCCAATCATAAATTATAACAAATTGTCATTTTTCTTGGTGACTGGTTGCCTTTAAAAATTGTGCTTGACCGAGCTAAGACTCAAAGTTTAGGTGGGATGAACGAACCCTTACAGGGGTCAGAGGTCATGCATTCCGCACAGCATGATGGGGAGTTTTGTCAACACTGGGATAGAAATATGCCTCGGGATCTTCCCATAATAGGTCGTCCAGGGCAGCTTTATTTGAGACCTTTCTACACAGTATAGGAGAGGCTTTATATACAGCCATGTTCAACCTGCCTGGCAAAGAAATTTCATATTCTGAAGGTGCTTTTTGAAATATAATCTCAAATGAAGATTCAAATGTTAGAATTATCAATACTGTACAATGTACATATAGCTATGCCCGCTTAATGAAAATGTTATTAACAGATAAAAAAACAATTTTGAAATTATATGATATAAAACAATTTTTAAAGAAAATGTGTTAACATTTACATATGATGTGGAAACCAAAAATATTTTTTAAAGCATAAACACCACCATGAATATTTCAAATATTGAATACAAATAAATAAAATCAATAACTAGAATAAAACTAGAAAGAAAAAGAAAATCAGTAAAAAGATTTACAAACCTATGATTGGATCCCCAGTCCATCTCTCTACAATCAGATGTTTGACTTCAGTTGCTAGAAAGAAATAACTCTGCAAAAGAGAGAGAAAAAGTGTTTAAAAATATTAAAACCAAACATACTTTTAAATTTATGTTTCTCTACATTTGACCTAGATCATGACAAATACAGAATCACATAAAATTCATAAATCATTTGTTCATAATACATGTAAATGAACTTTATTTCAGGAGATACAGTACATGTAAAAGCTTGTTATGAAAATGCAGGGGGAAAATACTTTTACATTCACTTATTTTGGATGCTGATAACCAGCATAAAAAAATGGCTGTGGAAATAATCCTGCCCACTTCTTTCAATCTTTTCTTAACATACGTACATGTATGTGTTTTTATATGAATGATTGATCATTTTCACTACCCTCATTTCTCATATTCAGGATATGAATAATTAAGAATGAAGGCTAAATACAGACAAAAGCATTCATGTGAAGTACAAAAACATGTGAACAAGTTTATTATTCCAGGACTTGAAGATTTATACGTATGTGTTATTTGTTTCAATGAATAATCATTTGCACTACCCTCATTTCCCATATTCAGGATATGAATAATCTATTCATTAAAACAAATATATCAATGAATTTCTATATTTTGAATCGCAATCAGAATCTCACAAATCAATAGCATTTTTTGTTTTGTTTTACATATTAAGATTCTGACTGACTAAAATTGGAAGAAAAACAAATTCAATTTTCTTAAATCTCACTAATTGCTTTGTATTGAACAACCCAGGTGTAAATTTGCTTTATTCAAAAAGTAATCAAACATGCAATATACATGTAGTAATCACACGAGCGACAGCATTTACAAATACTATGTATATGTACAGTGTACCAGTGAGTTTCATTAATATTAAAGATAAAGCTTACTTTCTATGGGGAAAAGCATAGAAAATTAAAAAATAACAGTACAAGTCATGATTTTTTTTTTAAAGTGGTGAGCGATTTAGTTCTGGAAGGTTTAAAAAGACCTATAGAGAAAAAAGACCTAAAAGAACTCTGGTAAAAAGATAGAAATACATATTTCTGGATGAAAATATTACATTCACAATGTAAAATTAAAAAGATGTCACTACCTGTACCAGTAAAACACTGAGATACATTACATGTGCATTTCATGTACTGTAGGTATACATGCACAATTGTAAATGTTGATAAGTAGATAAAAGCATTTGCTTTTAATAATACAAAGTGCAGAACAAAAGATCATTAGTATCTAGACAGGCACATTATTTGCTCTAATACAAAGTACACATAATGTTCAATACATGGTAAACAATGGGGTCATTTGTCTTTTACACATGTACATTGTTCCTTTGTTAGCCGACATTTTCTTCTCATTGTGAATAAAAACTTAAACAATAGCTTATGAGAAAACTAACGTTGCTAATGAGGAAGCTTGATATCCAGTCTTCAGTGAAAACCTTCTACCAGCATATTGTACATGTGTGTTTTAAAACCATATGAATTATGAATGTTGCATCCATGAATTTTCAATGAATTTCTATGAATATTTTGTCTGGATCTGGATTATTGCAACTCAAGTGCTCAACACTCGTAGTGGAGTACAACAAAAAGGGTTGAGTGCACATGTGCTCATGAAATGATAACATAATGCTTTTGATAATCCTGTCGTCGCTGTTGAACTTTGAATTTATTGAGGTTTAGGATACATGTATTTGTTTGCATCAAATATACTGTATACATTGTATGTACAGGTCCCACAAATCTTTTCCTCTTCATTCATCACATCTTTCAGTTTACCTTTCCACTTCCCTCTGATATTTTTGAAGAATAACATTTATGTTTTTCAATCATTTCATTTAGCAGGAGCTGTCAAATAGCAATATACATGTATATAATTTCCCTTTTGTATATTAAGATTGATAATCAATGAATTCTTAAAGGTAATATAAAGTTTTGGGAAATTTTGAAAATTGGCTGGATAGTGATTCTTATCATTCTTTACAATTTTGATATATTTGGATGCCCCTGTAGATGTATTATAAGCACTTGAAAATCTATCCCCTAAAACACTTCTGCTTTCGAGAAAAATTGAATATAAAAATTTACTGGTGCTCCTGGTAAATTTTGATAAGTTTCAAATAGCGCTTACAGTATGTCCATAGTCCATACAATTGTAGTTGCGACCATTAAAATCTCAGAATATGTAGTTGTGATATGTCATTTCCAAACGGAAATAGCTTATCGGTCGATTTTAGTCAAAAAACATTGTTTTATAGCATAATTAGTATCTTGACGTTGAGAAGGAGCTATACAACATAAAGAGTTTTTTATTTCAATTTCATAACTTAAGACTCAATTTCGACCGCGACAATGATCACTGAATAATGTAGGATCGCGTATACTTTTAAATTGATTCTAAACTTACATGGGATGAACACACTGGTGCTGTCTGCAACAAGATCTAAAAAAATACTGGAATTCTAAACAAACTTAAATTTCTACCAAAATGTGTTTTAAGAATGTTATATAAAACTTTAATTCTTCCTCATTTATATTACTGTTCGGAAGTATGGGCCATGACAAGTCAAACCAATCTAAATAGGATACTCAAAATGCAAAAGAAAGCCATCCGGGTAATTTCAAATTCACACTACAGAGCTCATTCGAAACCTATATTTTATAAATTAAAGCTTCTCAATGTATTTGATATCTGTGAATATCATATTGCAGTCTTTATGTACTTGTGTCGAAATGAATCTTTACCATGTGCACTTCTTAAGTATTTTAATTTGAATTCGACTTTTCATGATTATGAAACTAGAAATGCATCTAATTTCCACTTACCACAAATTAAAACAACTTTAATGAAAAAGTCAATATCTTTTGATGGTCCAAAAATTTGGAATTCCATTCCAATAAATATAAGAAATTGCAAAAGTCTTCAAGCTTTTAAACGAAAATATAAAATGTATCAAATTGAATCCTACGTGCTATAACTCACCAGGCTCTTTATCCCCCCTGTATTCCCCTCTTTCTGTCATGCTTCCAATAGTACAACATTTAATTTGCCTTTTGTTTATATTATACTGAGGGATGGGCTCTAGCATAAGGACCATACTCCTTTTTAGCTCATCCCTTCACTCCCATTATGTTATTTTGGGGTTTTTTTTTGTTTTGTTTGTTGAATGTATGATATTTTATGTGTGATTATTCCGTATTTAATTGTATATGTTCTTGTATTTTTAATGATGAGTGTAAATAAACGAACTTGAACTTGAACTTGAATATGTTCATTTAAACCAAATATATGACCCATACCAACACTTTGTATTACCTTTAATGTACAATGTGTTTTTGTCATGCTTTATTTCATGCCACACTTCATTTCTTTAAAGGTGATAGAATCATGGAAGTGTCTTTGGAAGGAAAAAAATGAAAGAATAAGAAAACAAGCACATGCAGTGTAACACAAACATCCTTGTAAATAAACGAACTTGAACTTGAACTTGAATATGTTCATTTAAACCAAATATATGACCCATACCAACACTTTGTATTACCTTTAATGTACAATGTGTTTTTGTCATGCTTTATTTCATGCCACACTTCATTTCTTTAAAGGTGATAGAATCATGGAAGTGTCTTTGGAAGGAAAAAAATGAAAGAATAAGAAAACAAGCACATGCAGTGTAACACAAACATCCTTGTCATCCTATGTGCTGGGAAGAATGTGTGTTTGAACTTTGAAGAAACATACATTTACTATAATATTTGGTCAAAATGCTCTTATACAACGTCGCTATTCACTATTGGGATTACAGTTCCCACATAAATTTCACATAATGGTGTACAAACGTACATTTCATTTCATTTCTACCACCAAAACCACAACCTTTATCTTTTAATTTTTATGGTAGCTAATAAAAATCAATGAATCATAGACCAAGGCCGAATCTGTATATAACTTCTCGACTTGTTGGTCCTTCTATAGGGGCATTTACACTGTCATCCAAACACGCCAAAAAATGCCAAACCGGAGCCTGACCGCGACGTTACCAAGGGCAACTACGCATTACCGGCAGAAATGCCAATTCCAAAACATTCCAAATCGAAGTGTGATCTTTTGGCGTGTTTTGGCGTGTTTGGCAAGTATAAATGCTCGCAGTTGTAACATCGCGATGTTAGGTGACGTAACTTTAGGAGCGGAGCTAGATGTCGTCCTTAAAGAAAATGATAGAACGATATATACAAAGAATAACATAAGAGAAGGTGATAGAAGGAAGAAACAAAGAATAACATAAGGAAACACAGAAAGAGGAAGTGATAGAATGATAAAAAAACAAAGAACAACATAAGAGAAGGTGATACAAAAATGAAGAAACAAAGAATAACATAAGGAAAGACAGAAAGAGAAAGTGATAGAAGGAAGAAACAAAGAATAACATAAGGAAAGACAGAAAGAAAAAGTGATAGAATGATAAAAAAAACAAAGAATAACATATGAGAAGGTGATAAAAGGAATAAATAAAGAATAACATAAGGAAACACAGAAAGAGAAAGTGATAGAAGGAAGTGATAAAGAATAACATAAGAGAAGGCGACTCACAGTGCCGACGATCTCCGACCTGAGCGGAGGAAGGATACAAGAGAGAGATAGAAGGAAAAACAAATAACAAGGGAAGATAGAAAGAGGAAAGTGTTTGCATCGGAGTGCCGCGCATGCGCATTACCAACTGAAACACGCCAAAACATCACTGAGCTTTTCAGTCTGTGATGTTTCCGCACAAGTGTAAACGGGTGCGCGAAACATCGCGACTTTTCAAAATGAGGTATTTGACAGTATAAATGCGCCTTATATTTCAATTCATTTATCACTTAGCAAATTGAGAACGAATGTAATAATAATTCAATGCATTATGAAATACAAAGCCAATCGAGGAACATTTGAAAAGAAATTTTGTGGTTGACATTTGTTCTAATTCACTGGTCTGGAAAATTGTATGGCTGAGAATGGATACAGGTGTACTTGTACAATGTATATCATC